ATGTGTGGAGTGTGTGTAAGTTTAGCATGCAATCCCTCTATTGGACCCCCAGTCGATCCCCCAACTGGACCCCACTCGATCCTGCAACTGGACCCAGTCGGTCCCTCTACTGGACCCAGTCAATCCCTCTACTGGACCCAGTCGATGCTGTTACTGGATCCAGTCGATCCCTCTACTGGACCCAGTCTATCCTGCTACTGGACCCAGTCGATCCCTCTACTGGACCCAGTCGATCCCCCAACTGGACCCAGTCGATCCCTCTACTGGACCCAGTCTATCCTGCTACTGGACCCAGTCGATCCCTCTACTGGACCCAGTCTATCCTGCTACTGGACACAGTCGATCCCCCAACTGGACCCAGTTGATCCCCCAACTGGACCCAGTCGGTCCCTCTACTGGACCCAGTCGATCCTCCTAATGGACCCAATCGATCCCTCTACTGGACCCCAGTCGATCCCCCTACTTGATCCAGTCGATCCCCCAACTGGACCCAGTCGATCCCCCAACTGGACCCAGTCGGTCCCTCTACTGGACCCAGTCAGTCCCTCTACTGGACCCCAGTCGATCCTACTACTGGACCCAGTCGATCCCTCTACTGGACCTAGTCGATCCTGCTACTGGACCCAGTTGATCCCTCTACTGGATCCAGTCGATCCCTCTACTGGACCCAGTCGATCACCCAACTGAAACCAGTCGATTCCCCCAACTGGAACCAGTCGATCCCCCAACTGGACCCAGTTGATCTCTCTCTCTACTGGACCCAGTCGATCCCCCAACTGGACCCAGTCGATCCCCCAACTGGACCCAGTCGGTCCCTCTACTGGACCCAGTCGGTCCCTCTACTGGACCCAGTCGATCCTCCTAATGGACCCAGTCGATTCATCTACTGGACCCAGTCTATCCTGCTACTGGACCCAGTCGATCCCTCTACTGGACCCAGTCGATCCCTCTACTGGACCCAATTGATCCCCCTACTGGACCCAGTCGATCCCCCTACTGGACCCAGTCGATCCCTCTACTGAACCCAGTCGATCCCCCAACTGGACCCAGTTGATCTCTCTCTCTACTGGACCCAGTCGATCCCCCAACTGGACCCAGTTGATCTCTCTACTGGACCCAGTCGATCCCCCAACTGGACCCAGTTGATCTCTCTACTGGACCCAGTCGATCCCCCAACTGGACCCAGTTGATCTCTCTCTCTACTGGACCCAGTCGATCCCCCCCCCCTAATGGAACCAGTCGATCCCCCTACTGGACCCAGTCGATCCCCCAACTGGACCCAGTCGGTCCCTCTACTGGACCCAGTCAGTCCCTCTACTGGACCCAGTCGATCCTACTACTGGACCCAGTCGATCCCTCTACTGGACCTAGTCGATCCTGCTACTGGACCCAGTCGATCCCCCTACTGGACCCAGTCGATCCTGCTAATAGACTCAGTCGATTCCCCTACTGAACCCAGTCGAACCCCCTACTGGACCCAGTCAATCCTCCTACTGGACCCAGTCGATCTCCCTACTGGACCCAGTGAAACCCCCTACTGGACCTAGTTGATTTCCCTACTGGACCCAGTCGATCCTGCTACTGGACCCAGTCCAGTAGCAGAAATGTTAGATCACTTGGTAAACATTTTGACGATATAAATGCATTACTCACAGCACTAGGTACTAACTTATCGTTCATTATTTTAACAGAAACTTGGCTAAATAAAGACTATACCCAACTCTACAACTTAGCTGGTTATAAAGCCATTCACAACTGTAGGCCTAATAAAAAAGGTGGTGGCACAGCTATATATATTACCGAGATACATTTATCTGCAACAGTGTCATTAGTGATAGAGATGACTACTGTGAATATACTTTTGCTCAGTTTACAATTAAATCCCTTAAATCTGTTTTGACTATTGGAGCCATCTATAGATTTCCCAATACTAACATAGCTTCTTTCTCAGACAACCTAAGGAATCTTATTATAAACAACAATCTCAACAAAAACCACATCATTCTGGGAGGAGACTTCAATATTGACCTGGGTCAACAAAATTGCTCTCAAGTTGACTATTTCCTTAACAGCATGAACTCCTGTATGCTAATCCCCACTATCACCAAACCTACCCGAGTCACTCAAACATCAGCCACTACCTTGGACCACATATGGACAAACATAACAGCTCCCCTTGTATCTGGTATAATCTACGACAGAACAACTGACCACTATCCTACCTTTCTCATAGCGAACATGGACATAACACCACCAAAAAGCAAGAAACTTTCATTTAGGCTACACAGTGAATCAGCTTTAGACAATCTTACGAATGCACTTCACAATATTAACTGGGATTCTGAATTCAATAATACCCAGGATATAAATTCATTAGCTAACCTCTTCCTCTCCAAAACTCTAAGCCCCTACAACCTTCATTGTCCCCTTCTTACCAAGCAAGTAGCTGACAAAAGATTAAACAATCCATGGCTCACAAGTGCATTCTCAACTTAATCAACAAGAAACATGAATATGAAAAGAAACTTAGGATTGGCCTAGTTTCAAAGGAAGTAGCTAAAAGGTACTCATCAATGCTTACCAGTATCATAAGAAAGGCAAAACTTTCATATTATGTGAATAGATTCAATGAAGCAAAAGGCAACATGAAAAGCACATGGAAAACTATCTCTAGTATCCTAGGAACTAAACAACGGTCACATAACCAAATAAAATTCTATAAGGATGGGTATATACCGTCAACTGATTTAGAAATGGCAAATGAATTTAATAGCTTCTTTTCATCGGTTGGTGCTAGTAAAATCCCACAGACTCAGACACATATTAGCACATATCTCTCAGGCAGCTATCCAAACTCTCTTCTCCTTTCACCAATCAGCCCGACAGATGTTAGTTAGTTTAGTTCATTTATTATGCACCCCATACCCATCTTGTGGGTGGTAGTGGAAAGGGTTACAGAGGCACATAATGGGCTCAGGGACTGAACCTCACAATTCATTTATCTAAGCAAGTTACAATCTTGATGAGCTAGTTACAAAATTCAGTATAAGTCGTCACATCAACAATGGGTTCGAGATCGACCTCAAGTTTCCTTTTATTGTACTTATAAGCATGCTTGCATGTAAAAAAAAAAAAAAGTGGAGTGCGAAAAAATACGTGAATTTAGAGACAATTCTATAACCAATGTTCCAGCGATGTGTAAATATTTCATTTAAAATGATCTGCTACCAGAAATTTTAGCCAAATATCCCCAGTTTGCTAACTGTAGGTAGTAACCGAGTGATTGTAACCTATCCACCGCCGCCCACTGGATGGGGGGCGGTGTGCAGGACAAACATAAATTTTGACACTAGCTCTTCATATATGTCAGTTGCTTAATTTAGACCTGTACTTGAGGTCGATCTCGAACCCATTGATGGTTGACAGTGTCAAACGCCTTACGTAGGTCCACAAATGAACCAATAGGGAACTCATTTTTTCTGATCAGGGGGAGAAAGATACTGGCAGTATGGGGCGTTAAATTTATTGAAGATTAAATTCTGCAGAACATGTAAATATATAAAGTTTCAAATATATAAAGTAAGTAAATATATAAAGTTTATATTAAACACGGTTTATATTATAGACTTATAACAAAGTTTATATTATATTAAACTTAATATTGAACATGTAAATATATAAAGTTTCAAATATATAAAGTAAGTAAATATATAACGTTTATATTAAAATATATAAAGTAAATATATAAAGTAAGAATTAACAGTAACAATTCCAAGTCCGAGGACTAGATTTAACTTAAAAGGTACACCCGTAGTAAGTATGAGACCTTAGCCTGTATGTACTTAGCATGTATCAAGTTAATCATACTAATAAGTGAATCGTTAGTGCTTTTATTGGGTCTGAAGCCATATTGGCAAGAGCTGCGTATATTGTGTTTGGCTAGATAAGAGTAGAGCTGCTTGTAGATTAGTTTTTCAAATATTTCTGACAAGTTTGGCAGGATTGATATAGGTCTGAAGTTGTTGACATCAGTGAGATCACCACATTTGTGGATGATCACAGTTGATGTGACGACTTATACTGAATTTTGTAACTAGCTCATCAAGATTGTAACTTGTTTAGCTAAATGAATTGTGGGGTTCAGTCCCTGAGCCCATTATGTGCCTCTGTAACCCTTTCCACTACCTCCCGCAAGATGGGTATGGGGTGCATAATAAATGAGCTAAACTAACTAACTCCTGTTTCCTCCTGTAAGTAACACAGAACTCAGTTTTTTCTTGGCAATATCATTATAATGGGAATCTCTGGCTATCTTAATTGCAAGCTTAGCATTCGGTTCCTGAATTCTGTTTTTAACACAGGAGAGGGACAACTCCTCTCATAGATTAGATGTTTTGGCCTCCCTTGGCCCCCCTATGGCATTTGGACTCCAAGACTGATTGTCATGGCTTCTAATCTCAGCATCTCTAACGAATAACTATCAGAAATGTGTGATTTTTTTGCAGGGATATTCCTGCGCGGCCCTAAACCTCTGGCTGGCCCACTAAGTGTTGCTTGTTTCTGTTTTACTTGGGCGGAGTAGGAGTATTTCTGACTCATATGGTCACTTCAGTAAGATTTTGTCCCACGTGTTGTTGTCTGCTCTGTTGAATCTAAGTTTAAATCTTAATGGGTTTGTCTTAAATGTGTGTCTTAAATGTGTATGTCTTTAAATTTTAAATGTGTGCTGTAATTACATTTAGGTAATTACCTGTATTGTGTCTCCACACATTTTTTTTTAGTTCATTTATTATGCATCTTATACCCATCCTGTGGGTAGAAGAGGAAAAGGTTACAGAGGCAAATAATGGGCTTCGGAATTGAACCCATTCATGGGGGAAGGGGGTTACGAATTCATGGGAGTACTTTTACCTGAATAAAAATTTGAATTTGAATTTTGAATTTGGGTGTTCTTTGGCTTATTGTTGTTGGTTGTTGGGGGAGGGGTGAGGGAGGGGTGATGTGGGTGTTGTGTTGACGTCGCTTACTCTCCGGAGTCTCCGATGCAACCAAACATCTCCCGGCGTGGGTCGTTGCCTCTTTACAAACAATTCTCCGATTTTCTTTAATAATAGTGACATGCAAGGTAAATTTTGAAAATGAGATGTGTATAGCGTGTGAGAGAGAGGACGGCGGGGAGGATAATGTCACTGTCGTCGCAGCAGGATGAGGATGGCCGCCACTACAAGTTGGTGGCCAAGACTGATAACGCCAAGAATATCCTCCAGGTGCTCAGAGCTGTCAACTTCCGTGAGGTGAGGGGCTGTGTGGGCAGATATAGTTGGTAACATTGAACTAGGACTCTGGTTCAACCTTAACGACGAGTGGACGTTTGAATACCACCTCCGCTTGGGGGCCGCCGGATTACGTTCTGTTTCACGATTTTGATACTGCCGTTTGGCATCCCTATTTAACGGTCCGGATTGTTAATACGCCTGGCGCACATATCGCCTTGGGTCACAGGATAGCTAATAGATTTTGAACATTTTCTGGCTGGTTCTCCTGGAGGGGTGAGTGTCCGGGGTCGGCTTGGCCGAGAGGTGCCGGGGGTTGGCGGGTCTTGGTGGGCTCCTGGTGTGCCCTCAGCCGGGGTGGGCGGCGGGCTTCTGCTCTGCCAAAGGGCACTGGATGACATTTTGCATTTTAGTTGGGGGCAGAGTTTTAGTTTTGCTACCCTGTGTTCTCAGTGTGGAGTGGGACCGGTGCTTGTCACCCTGAGGTGACAGGTGAGGTCACCCTGAGGGACCCTTGGGGCTCCCCAATCATCTGTCCATCTATGTTATTGGCCACGAGGCACACTAATTTCCGCTGATAAGAGACATTTCCCCATTCGTCTTCGCAATTAATCCTTCATGGGCACACCGGGGCACATCCGATGCCATGATTGTCGTCACCCCTAAATCAACAACATTAAACTACAAGTATACCTCAGTGATGGGCAAGTTAAGGAGGACTATCTTTATGGAACCTGCCATTTAAACGATTGACTTAACAGGATGGAACCCACAACAGCTGATTAACTCCCAGGTGTCTATTTATTGCCAAAATGACTCGCCTTGCATGGGAATGCAGCCCATGCCAATAGCTGTGAGTTATAGAGCTGTGCTAATAATATAATTATTAACAGTTTTAGGAAGTTGGGTTAACCCATGGGTTCTGATGGGCGTTATGTTCATCCACAGCCCTCTCCCTCTTTTCTGGTGAAGAATGTGTCAGCGAGCTTCTGGAGAGGTCCTTTGGTTGTTAATGCCTTGTTGGTTTGGCTCGGAGTGCATCATGTGCTGTATCTCGTGGTTGCTTTTTGCCACTGATTCTGCCTCGGTGGATACTTTGTAGGTTGATTCTGTTTTCTTGGTTGCCTGTTCCAAGGTTTGTGTTTCCCATGTCATCAGCAGTGTCATTAACTCCAGACAGCCTGTGGTGTATTTTCATTCCCATGATGAATATTGTCCTAATAATGATGTGGGTCTTTTGGCAGTCTTAACAGGGTTCTGGCAGCCAGGTATTTAGTTAACGTTCTCGGGCTTTGTCGTACCTGTGCCGCCTTGGGTTCAGTCTTTTAGCCTGTTCTCATATTCGTTCTGACTACCTGCAGTTTCTCGTACCTGCTGAGTTCCTCTCTTTCTTCTACATGGGGTACAGTAGTTAGCTTCAAGGAACCACAAGGGGCTTCCCTCAGAAACCAGCACTGAATGCATGTAATATGTCTTTTTTTTTTTTTTTTGGGTGAGCCCTAGTGGTTCCCTGATTCCCTCCCTCCTCTCCAGGTTGTCGGTTGGTGAGTGTCATATACACATCTGGAGCTAACGAGCTCATGCTTGTTTTGAGAGATTTAATTGTTATACTGTTGAGGAAGTTCATTTGGCAGTTTTTGAAGCTTTGGTCTTTTTGAGCCCAGCAGTGGTCTGTATTGGTTCGTTGACTTTCTGAATATTTTACCAGTGAGGTGACAGTGTCACGTGCTCTCTGCCCCTCTGTGAGGGCGGCCAGCCTCTGGCTCTGGTCCCTGGCATGCCAAACAGAACTCTACAGCTGGTTTTTTGCAAATAAGAAATAAGAGTATTAATAGTAATGTACTGTATTTATAAAACTAAACTTTGGAGAATATTGGAAAGTTCACATTATTATTACATTATAGCAATTGTTATATTTTTACAAGGCTTCTTATGTAATTATTATTATTATTATTATTATTATTATTATTATTATTATTATTATTATTATTATTATTATTATTATACTGTACTGTAATTATCTGCAAATCTCTCTTTTTGGACACATTCTACAAAATAAGAAATTTGTCCTTGTTCTTATGTCATTGTTATCCACCCTGACTGTATCCTAAAATGGTGATTTTGCACTGCTCATTATATATAGTGTAAGTAATGCAATTTAAGTAAATTAAGTGTAATTGCACAAATAAAGCAGCTTCTGGGATACATTTTTGACAGACAGCCACAGTACTTGCGACTGCCAATGGGTTGAAGATGACGGTGGAAGAGTCAAAGTGTCTCCAGGCTAATGCGTTCATCCAGTCTGAACTATTTCAGGTAAGGCAAGAATCTGCTTGGTTCCTTCATTTGTCTTCTGATCACCATTTATGTTTTGAGTATAATGAAATATTTCCAATGAAATACCAATTTCTGGGTGAGTCATCAGGTTGCATCAGCCATGGAGTTCTTAGGCATACCGGGGACCAGAGCCAGAACCTGGCTCTCCTCACATTGATGCAAGGATTGGTGACATTTTGCCGCCTCACCGGGAAAGGTATCCAGAAAGTCAGCGTGTCAAACTAAACCACTGTGGAGTTCCAAAAGCAATCAAAGCCTCAAAGCCTTGAAACCCACCTAATGAACACTCCCAACTATATAAGCAATAAAATCTATCGAAATGAGCGTGAGCTCGTTTCAACCCACCTCCCACACTCGTTTGGGGGAAAGGGGCTCACCAATTTCTGGGATCAAAGCAGTCAATTCTGGAGCAGATGCACAAACAAACCCTACCCAATGACCCAGAAAGGAGGGTAGGAGGTTCAGGAAGCCACCAAGGCTTGCCCAGAAATTGGAGTTTCATTCCATTTAACGCTGGTTTTTGGGGCATAGGGGAAGCCTCTCGTGGCTCCCTGAAGCTAACTTGCCATGGAGAAAGAAGAACAAATGGGAACTTTCCAGGGAGGAGGGATACTGGCAGAAATCATAACAAAGGCCTTTGTATGAGAGACACAACCCAAGCCCACACAAGGAAGCCGAGGCCCAGAAACATTCACCAAATACCAGGCCAACAGAACCCTGTGAGACCTCTAAACCCCCATGCCCAAATATCAGCCCAGGGCATATTAGCAAGCACAGCTGGGAGAGAGGCATACTCTCAAACTTTGTGGACATGAGGGTAGACTGCAGGCTGGCTAAATTGAAAAACACAACCCTTGGAACAAGGAACCAAGGAAACAGGATCAACCCACAGAGCATGCACCGAATCAGAATCGGTGGCATGCAGGTACAGAGCCTTCACTGGACACAGCACACAATGCACCCCTGGCTAAACTAACCAAGTGTCGAGACCCAAAGGATCCCTCTGGAAACCAACCAACTCTAGAAAAGGACGAGCAGGCTTTAAGCAAACAAAATGCCTACCAGGGCCAAAGAAATGAAAACCATGCCTCCTGATTAGAGCATGAAGCTCCCCAATCCATCAACTTGAGGCTATAAAACACTATAAAACGAGAAGAAAAGAAGGTGAGAACTTGGTCCAAAGACCATGCAATCCCAGGCAGCGCATGAACAGGCTAGAGATGAAACACGGCACGAGACAGCCTGCGAAATTGTACCGAGGTAGTATCATCGCCAAATGCACCAGCACTGTGCATTACGAGGCGACAATGTTCAAAATGAGATGCTTATCAAGATAAAGCCAAGAAAGAAAAGAGAGCACCATAAGCTCAGAAACTGATGAACAAAGATGAAAAGAAAGGAAGTGCTGAAAAAAGAATGCCATGAAACCTCATACTGTTGCCAAGGAGAAGAATGCAGATGAGACACCATCAAAGAAGCCACCTGCTCACTGCAATGATGGTGATAAAGATGCATAAAAAGACCAAACACAAAGAGCTGAACAGGTCAAACCAGCGAAATAAGACACTGGGCCAACCTTCTGATAGAGACAGAAGTGGAAAAAAGCCTGGGTTTAAACACCGAGCAAGCAGCACCTAAAACCAAGGCTGACCCAGCCACCAAGGAGCCAGAAGGATCACCCTTTCCTGGTAGGACTCCAACCTGGCCAGGACCTGGAGCAACAGCCATATCGAAATGAGGTACAAGAACCCCCACCTCAACCAATCCAGCTGGAAGGCATCCATAACGAGGTCCTCGCAATCAAGGAGCGGAACTGCCTACAGAGGAAGATGCAGATTCCATGCTGACACAAAGAGGTTCACTTCTGGGCGTCCATACATCAGCTATTAGAAGAAAGTGGCATCAGTGGTCCACTCCATGAAGACGGGAAGGAAATGGTACAGACCATCCGCAAGAACATTGAACACTTCCTGGCTGTGAACAGTGTGGAGAGCCCAACCCTAAGAACCCAGCAAAAGAACTACTTGAAGCATCCACCTCCCAGAGGGCAAGTGACTGAAGCGAACACCACCCCTGTTGAGACAATGAACCATAGGAGAATAGTTGGAATGAAGCTAGAGGAATCTAAACCTTCAGTAGTGCATGCCACATGGCCGCAAATTCCCGATCCATACTGTGAACCCACTGTAACAAGAGAGCAGTACACGGCAGAACAGCAATGTATCTAATAAGGAGAAAAAGACAAAAACACAAAAGGGGAAGGGTACATCAATGAGGCGTAATCCGGGCTCGCAGGAGGTATGTGAACCTCACCTCGTGAGCCACTTGCAGGAGGGGGGGGGCCCAAAATGAAGGAAATCTTGGGAAGGACGATCCTGATAGGCCCAAGGCACATGGAACCATACACTGGGGGAAGCTGCACCTAAATCATACTCATACAGGGAGGGAGGATAGGAAAACCCCTCCCCAGGAACCAAAAGGGACCTAGGGGGTTCATATCAGACTCCCCCAAGTCACAGAAGCTCCATTTGAAGCACCAGGGCTATGAAGGTACACCTATATGATCATATATACTCGCCAAAAATATATATATGCGAAGGAGAGAATAGTAGGCCAACAGCCCAATCACATGGATGTCAAGGATGATGTTGGTATGCTGGTCAAGGTTGCATGAACCTCAGTGTGCCCCTCCAGCCAAAATCACATCCAACCCAAGAAAAGACAAAGTGAACTGACTTGCTCAGGGCGAGGCCCATTATTAGCGAGGGGGCCCTCCAAGGGGCAATCCCTGAACACTCCAGGGGGAGGTAACCCTGGCAGTGCAAGGGCAACACTAAAGGAGCACCCAGGGAAGAGAGCCCTGAGTACATGCAGCTCTAAGTGCTCTTAACTCTTGGCTCACACTGCATAAAAGTGCAATGGAACAGCCACTAAGGCCACTAGGGGCCTGACAGCTGAGTGGACAGCGATCTGGATTCGTAGTCCTGAGGTTCCGAGTTCGATCCCTGGTGGAGGCAGAAACAAATGGGCAAAGTTTCTTTCACCCTGATGCCCCTTTTACCTAGCAGTAAATAGGTACCCGGGAGTTAGACAGCTGCTATGGGCTGCTTCCTGGGGTGTGTGTAAGAAAGAGATCTGATCGAGGACCGGGACACAGGGACGCTAAGCCCCGAAATCATCTCAAGATCACCTCAAGATAAGAAGGCAAAAACCCCATTTAGGGAAAAACTGTTCATTGGAGACAAGTGACAGAGAGGGCACCTCACACTACCATCAGAATAAAACTGAGGGTGGAGCAGCTGGTTGACTCCTGGCTGCCTCCCTCCTTCCCCAAAATGAGGGAGCAGGTGGAGGAACCACCAAGGAACTCTCCCAAACTATGTAAACAAACAATTGAAAATTCATAAGACGAGTGCTAGCTAAACAAGCTAGCGCTAGTTTCATGAATTTTCATTTGTTTGTTTTCATAGTTTGGGGGAGTTCTTTGGTGGTTCTTGAGGCTGTGTACCATTTGAAGTGAGCAGTGGTTCGTTTTGTTTTGCTGACTTACCCTGTGCCTTCCCTGGTGGCGGCAGACATGAATAATTTCATAGTAATTGTATCAGAAGTGCCACCGCTTCCTGTGCCCCATTGAGGGAGGGCCAGATTCTGGCTTGAGGTCCCTGGTAGGCCATTAGAACTCCGCAACTGATGACATCGAGTACTATGATACTGTACTCTATTAGAGATAGTAGCTCAGGAAACCACCAGGATTCATCCAGAAATCGGTGTTTTACTATATTCAATGCTTTTTTCTGTGGGGAGCCCCTACGGCTCCCTGGAGCTTATCGGGCTAATGTATGTTATATTAGACCGGGACATTAGCTAAGGAGTTCAGACCTACCTGGGATCAGTGCCAGAACCTGGCCCCCTTCAGAGAGGTTTCAGGGAGCAATGGCCCTGGAAAACCCCCTTGTAGTTGGGGTTTTCCTTAACTGCCATCGACCGGGGTTAGGCACCCAGAAAGGTAGGCATAACAAAACAAACCCCCACGTGGTAAAAAGCCAAAACAAAAAACCGAACAGAGAGGAAGAAACTCCCTACAATCCCAAGGAAACAAGCAAACATCACACTTTACTGTCGCACCGATTGTCCGCGCAGCCCTCCCCGCCCCGAGAGGGGGAGTGGGGAGCCCCGGACCTGCCGCGCCGACTGCCTAGCATCAGTTCGTAAGCTAATGTCAACTGGGATAGACGCTTCTCTGGCCTCAGTTTCCTAGGCGATGTTTGCCTTGTGTGGCGTTCACTGCCGTGTGTTGTGTTGTGCGGTGGCCAGGAGTACCTCATCAGTGCCATGGCTGCATGCGCTTAGGGGCTTCCTTCCCTAAGTGCCCTGTGAGTACTGCCCCTGCATGACAGGGTTATCTTCCCTGGGGCGTTCAGGAACCATTCCCATAGAGGTTCTTGCTGCTCAGCATTTGCCTCGCCCTTGGGGTCAGCTGGGGCTTGGGGCCCTTGTTTGGCCCTGTGAAGGGGCTGGTATTGTGCTAGTTAGGGCGTCAAGGTGTTGCGTGACCTACCACCTAAGCGTCGCTCGGTTCCTGTTGCCTCTAGAGACGTTGAGAGTCGCCACTTTTACCTCCGTCATGTTGTCTGTTGGGTCACTGACACCTTGACCCGGAGTCTTGCGAGAGAGATTCTCTGCTTGTTCTCCAGTACTCTCCTGATGTTATTACTGTTCAGAGTACAGGCGGCATCTGTGTTGCAAGCTAGTTAGGTTGCTGCAACACGCTAGGATGGTTTCCCACTTGGATGCCCCGGGGCCGCCCCGTTTTGGTTAGGTGCTGCTCGCCCCATTCCCTCCCTGTTCCCGGCTCCGGACCGTCTGTGGGTTTCGGGGGGTCGGGGTAGGGTTTAGTTGGGGCCGAGACTCGGGTGGTTTTGGGGGCTGCCCTGTTCGGGTTGGGGACGGAGGTTTTCGAGCCTGTTCCTCCTGCCAAGGCTTCTGGGTCTTACCAGTGGCCCTTTCTTGCTGCCTTTCCTATGGACTCTTCCTTTTCTTCAAGGGTGGAGGGCTTGGAGGACGGCTCTGCCCCAGGGCCTCTGTTGCTGGTTTCCGGGGCTGTGGGGGATGCCTGCTAGCAGTTCTGGGGCAGTTTGCCCCTGCCTGGGTTTTCTGCTTCTGGGCGGAGTTTTTCGCCCATCCAGTCTGCTTGCTTCCCACTTTTGCTGGTGTGTTTTCGTATCTTTTGCATCCGTCACAGCCCTCTGTTCTGGTGGCCATTTTCTTCTGCCGGTTTCCTGGCGTGGTCACCAGAGCGGCGTTGCAGTTTGTTTACATGCGCCTGGGTGTGCGAGCAAGCGTTTTGGGTGAGTTTTTCACCTTTTTCAGGGGTTTTATTCTCCTGTTGTCGTTTTTTTGCTTTTCTGGTGTTTTCTGCCCGTTTCCTGTTCCTCTGGGAACGTTTGAGTGTTGATTTTACACCGGGTTTTCCGTTTTGTCTGTTTTGCGTCTGGGCCCTTGGGTTTGGGCTCAGTGTCCCTGTCTGTTATGCTTGCTCCCACACCTTGTCCCTTGGTTTTCGATCTGTTTTGACCGTTTCCCTGGGGGTTCTGTCGGGGCTGTGCTTTGCCTTTCTGTGGTGTATCTCTGCCGGCAAATGTGGTGGTTTGGGCTCCCCCTGGTTCGATTCCGGGTTCCTTTGGGTTCTTTGGTTTCGTGCCGGAGGTTTCTTCCTCTTGGGCACCCCTTTGTGGGTTCAGGGGGCTTTGTTTCCTCGTGTGTGACCCGGTTCTGCATTCTGGGGTTCCGGGGTCTTCCTGGCTTGCAGACTGATCTTTTTGGGTCTTGGCACGTATTGTGGTCGTGTTGGGACTTTGGGGATTTGTTGTCGAGGTGGGCCTCTTGATGCAGTTTTGTGCCTTCTTCGCCTGGCCGGCGTGGTGCTCTCTGCCCACTAGTCGGCAGCTTGTAATTTTCTTTTCACGTGTATTTGTGTGCATACACATTTGCATGTACATGTGTACACTGTGTGTGTGTGTATGTTCATATGCACATGTGTGTGTAACATACCTTGTGTGTATGTGTATGAGTATAGGTATGTGTATGTGTATATACATAATATATATGTATATATGTGTATGTATACTTTTTCTTTCGGAAGAGGCTCTGTACCCTTCTCTTTTGAAGGGCCCTGGGGGAGCAGCTCGCTCTGTTGGCTCTCGCATGGTCCCACAGTTAGTGGGCGCTTTTGGTTGCCTTCCGGCCTCTGGTGGCAGAGGTGGACGGCTGCTCCCCCTTTGGGGAGGTTCAGGTCTGGCGGGGTGGGCTTCTTTCCCTGCACTTTGTCATGTCATCTTAGTGGGTGAGTTGGACATGGTCGATCCGCCCCATCCTTCTGGGGTTCCCGTCTGCTCTATGCAGACATGGGCCTGTCGAATCTGCAGTTCTTCTGGACTTCTTCAGTTTGCACCCTGGATTCTATGCCCTCATCGGAGGACTGTTGTCTCCTGTCCGGTTTCTGTTGGGGCTGGGTGCCTGGATGGTGGCCCTGGACCTCCAAATCAATTCTTGGCATGTTCCTCTCCAGTTTTCCGGAACTGGCACAGTTGGTGGTGGGACTACAGGCCCCACCACCACCGCTTTTGTTGCGTTCCTTATTTTGTAATTGGCATTGGGTGTATTTACGCATCTTTACCGGATCTTGGTGCCCTGTCTGAGTCTACTTGGGATTTGGAGTCTGGCCTACCTCGACGACTGGCTGGTGTGGGCTCTCAGTCGGTCCGCTTGTCTGCTTGCCAGGGGTGTGGTTCTTTCCAGATTGCAGGGTTTGGTTTCCTGGTGATCTGGAGGCCGTTCCATCTGTTTCGGTCCCGGGTTCGGACCTGGCTGGGTCTTGGTTAGGGCTCTTGGGTCACTCCTTGTCTTTCCCTCCAGAAGTGTTGCTGCGGCTGTGGTCCCACCTTTGGCTGTTCATGAGGGGGTCCCGGGTTGCTCGGCTGTTGCTCGAGCGGTTGTGCGGGAGTCTGAACTTCGACGTGTCACCAGCTTCCTCTTTGAGGTTTTCGGGGTTCCGTGCCTTGGCACCTCCCCGAGCCTTCGCTTGATGTGTTTACAGACGGGTCATCCCTCGGCTGGGGCTTTGTGACCAGTGCTCACCAGGTCGGCCGGGGATGATGGTGTCTGTCCGTCCGTCAGGCTCACAGCACGGCTCGGAAGTTTGTGGCTGTCTGGTTTGCACTTCGTAGGGTTTGGGTCACACGGTGCTCTACCATTCAGCTCCATTCGGACCGTTCTCTGGTGGTTCTTTGCCGGAACCACAGGGTTTCTCTTAGGTGTTTGACCTTTGGGGCTGGTCCCTTAAGAGTGGCTCATTTGCTGGATTCTCAGTGTTTGGCTATCCGTGAGGTTCATGTCCGGGGTGTGTCCTGTGTCCTGGCGGACAGCTGTCTCGGTTCATTCCTCTGTTCGCGGATTGGCCAGTCATTGCCGACCTGTTTTGTTGGCTCTGCCGGACGTATGGACTCCTGGCTATGGATGTCTTCGCGTCGGTGTGGTCTAGGCGTTGCCTATTCTATGTGGCGCCCTTACCCGACTGTGAGGCGTTCATGGTGGATGCCTTTCGGCAGGACTGGTCGAGGTGGGGGGGTACCTGTTCCTTTTCTCCCGGTCCAGCTGTTGCTTCAGGTTCTGGCTCGGTTGGAGCCCATTCCCACGAGAGCAGTCCTTTTGGTCCCTTGGTGGCCAGCCCAGCTTTATTTTCAGACACTGCTTGATAGGTGTCCGAATCCGGGCGTTTTCCCACGGCTCCGCCTTCTTCGGCAGGTCGGAAGGGTCCTGTACGTGACTGGTTCGTCCTTCTCCTCGGCTCTTCACGTCTGGTATTTTGATGCGGGTATCACCATCTTTGTGATGATCAGGTGGCTTTGTTGACGGTGTCCCACGTTCGAGCTTCGTCTCGGCAACAGTATGATGTTCCTGGTGTTTCAATGCACCTTTTTCTTGCTCTTCGTAGGTCGTCTTTTCTTTCGCATCAGGTGGTCTTGTCCTTTCTTGGGTTTTCAGGTCTACAGTTATTTGATTTTTCTTACCGTCGCCTCATTTTGTGCAGCGCTGGCGGAGCCGCTCCGGCTTGCTTTTAGGGTGGACGTCACATCTGCCCCATTCCGTACGCTTTCTCGTGTTTTGTTTCATCTCCGGCCTGCTCATGTGTCGCCTGAGCCGTCCTGGTCCTTAATCAGAGTGCCCTCTTATCTTCTCAGTTTGTGGTAGCCCCTTCGGTTCAGGTTTCTGCTCTTTGGTACTGGTGGTAGGTTTGTATGTTTGCAGCCTTTCTCCGTCCTTTTGGCGACAGTGGAGATGGCTGCTTTCCGGAGGGGTTCTTGGGTTATTGATGCTTGATTGGTTCGGCCAGGGGTGTGTCCTGTGTTGTCCAGTTGCACTTTTTGCTGTTACCTGCGTATCGTGTCTGGGGATGCGCTTTGGGTTGATCCGGTTCCCCTCGTTCCCTGTTTCAGGGCTCGGGTCTCCTAATGTTGTCCGCAGAGTTTTTAAGTCTTCCAGCCTGCGGTCTGTCCTTGCACCCGTGCTGTTCGGACATTTGCAGCTTTTGCTGCTGTGTTGGTGACGTATAGGGCTCATTTCGGGCGCAGGGATTTGAGGGTCGCACAGGTTCTTGGCCGCCCAATCTTTATGCACGTCTGCTATTGTGCATTCTTGTTGCCTTGGGTTGCAGGTTGCATCCTGTTGTCTCGGCTTCGCGTTGCGGAGTTTGTGGCGGCCGCCTCCCGGGTCAGCCCTTTCTTCTCCTTCTCTTTGGGTATGAAGCTCCAGGGAGCCGTAGGGGCTCCGCACAGAAAACCAGCGTTGAATGTAATGAAACACCATTTTCTGGGTGAGCCCCGGAGGCTCTCTGGCAACCTTCCCTCCCACCGGTCGGCATTTTTTTCACATTAGGTTGCATCCGGCGCGGTTGGTCCTGGGCTCCCCCTCTCGGGGCTCCCCCTCTCAGGGCTTGGAGGGCTGAGCGGATGATCAGCGCGGCAGTAAAGTGTGATGTTTGCTTGTTTCCTTGGGATTGTAGGGAGTTTCTACCTCTGTTCATTTTTTTGTTTTAGTTTTTTTACCATGTGGGGTTTGTTTTGTTATGCCTACCTTTCTGGGTGCCTAACCCCGGTAGATGGCATATAAGGAAACCCCCAATCACAAGGGGGTTTTCCAGGGCCATTGCTCCCTGAAACCTCTCTGAAGGGGCCAGGTTCTGGCACTGGTCCCTGGTAGGTCTGAACTCCTTAGCTAATGTCCCGGTCTAATATAACATACATTAGCCCAATAAGCTCCAGGGAGCCTCCGGGGCTCACCCAGAAAATGGCGTTTCATTACATTCAACGCTGGTTTTTTTATATCTGACAATTTTCCAGGAATATAACTGAAAGTTTATACATGGGGTCATTTGTACTTGTGTAGCAGTAAAGGGTGGGGAATAAATTTGTGTGACAGATAATTCCAGGAATTCAAAATTAGTACATAGTTAGTAATAACTGCTTCTCTCAATAGGAATATGAAATTCAGGAAGAAGTGGCATTCAAGGTGAATCTGAATGTTCTGGTGGAGTGCCTCAGCATCTTTGGTGGGAGCATCTTTGGGGGAGGAACAACGCCATCTCTCAAGATGTGTTATGGTGGTCATGGTTCACCCCTTATACTTTTGTGAGTCTTATTAAGAGCACTTGTTATTAAGAACAGGTGGTATAGATAGGTATGCAGAAAAAATAATTGAATGAATTAATAGGTTACCAAATATTCAGTAGTGTGCTCTATCTTAGGGACTTCATCTATGGTATTGAGGTAAGTGTAATGCAGATACAGTGTAGTGTTTTTTGTCATTACACAATAATCTACATACAGTGTTATATATTTTGTGTAATTTTTTGAGAGTTCAGCTAAGTGTGAAGACATGATCATTTAATAATAATTTTGTTGGCAACAGGAAGCCTATACATACATGAAAATTCACACCCCAGAAATGACTCGAATCCATACTGCCAGGAGCACTCTGCTGGCGTACAGGATCCCTTAACTGCTCGACCAACATGACCGGACAAAAGAGGATGGTAGCCGAGGCAATTTCCATCCCCCCGCCGCCGGCACTCGGTTGGTAATCTTGGGCATGGTATTTTATCAAATCACCTCATTCTTTGGGGCATACGTGAGGAACACAAATGCGAACAAGCCTGAATGGTCCCCCAGGACTACATGCAACTGAAAACTAACACCCCAGAAGAGACTCGAACCCATACTGCCAGGAGCACTCTGCTGGCGTACAGGATCCCTTAACCGCTCGACCAACACGACCATTCCATACCATACCATTCATGACCATAGGCTAACCTATCCAAGGATGGGATTGGAAGGAAAAAGACTAAATTGCCGAAGAGGAAAATATGACGAGATGAGGAACTTCCTAATGGGAATACCATTGGAAACAGAACTCAGAAAAAGACTGTACATTATATGATGGATTATGTCACTCAGAAGTGTCAGGAGGCTGCAGACAGGTTTATCCCAGTCCAAAAAGTGAAAAATGAAAAGCAACAGAAGAATCCGTGGTTCAACCAGGAATGTGCAGCAGCGAAGCAATTGAGTAAAAGAACATGGCGAAACTACAGGAATAACAGAACACCAGAGAGCAGGGATGAGTCGACGACCGGGCCGAGGGGACGCTAAGCCCCGGAAGCACCTCAAGGTAACCTCAAGGGAGAAACACCAGAGGGCCAGAAATGAGTACATCAGAGTGAGGAGAGAAGCAGAGAGGCAGTATGAAAATGACATCGCGAGTAAAGCTAAGATCCAACCAAAACTGTTCCACAGCCACATCAGGAGGAAAACAGCAGTGAAGGAACAAGTGATGAAACTGAGAAAAGGGGAGAACGATAAAGGTGTGTGAAGAACTCAACAAGAGATTCCAGGAGGTCTTCACAATAGAACAAGGAGAGGTCCCTGCACTAAATGAGGAGGCAAACCGAACAACCATGGAGGAAATTTACCTCACCAGTGATGAGGTCAAAAGGAATCTGTTTGAGCTGAATGTGTCAAAGGCTGCTGGGCCTGACAGAATCTCACCATGGATTCTAAAAGAAGGCGCAGAAGCACTAAGTGTGCCACTCTCTATGGTGTATAACAGGTCACTGGAAACGAGAGACCTTCCGGAAAGCTGGAAGACAGCTAATGTAGTCCCAATTTACAAAAAGGGTGACAGGCAAGAGGCACTGAACTACAGGCCAGTTTCCCTAACTTGTATACCATGCAAGGTGATGGAGAAGATTGTGAGGAAAAGACTCGTGGAGCATCTGGAGGGAAACAGCTTTGTAACACACCACCAGCATGGGTTCAGAGATGGTAAATCGTGCCTCACAGGCCTAATAGAATTCTATGACCAAGCAACACAAATTAGGCAGGAAAGAGAAAGGTGGGCAAACTGCATTTTCTTGGACTGTCAGAAAGCCTTTGACACAATACCTCACAAAAGGCTGTTACAAAAGTTGGAGCAGCAGGCAGGAGTAAAAGGTAAGGTGCTCCAGTGGATAAGGGAGTATCTAAGCAATAGGAAACAGCGAGTAACGGTGAGGGGGGAGGCATCAGAGTGGCGAGATGTCACCAGCGGAGTCCCACAGGGCTCTGTACTCGGACCCATCCTGTTTCTAGTATATGTAAACGACCTTCCAGAGGGTATAGACTCATTCCTCTCAATGTTTGCGGACGATGCAAAAATTATGAGAAGAATCAAAACAGATGAAGATAGACAGAGACTACAGGACGACCTGGACAAACTGGAGGAATGGTCTAGAAAATGGCTACTAAAGTTCAACTCAGGAAAGTGTAAAGTAATGAAATTAGGCGAAGGGAGCAGAAGGCTGAACACAAGGTACCATCTGGGAGGTGAGATCCTACAAGAGTCAAATAGAGAGAAAGATCTGGCGGGTCGATATCACACCGAACCTGTCCCCAGAGACCCACATCAAAAGGATATCATCAGCAGCATATGCTAGACTGTCCAATATAAGAATTGCCTTTAGAAACTTGTGTAAGGAATCGTTGCGGACCCTGTATACCACTTATGTAAGACCAATCCTGGAGTATGCAGCTCCAGCCTGGAGTCCATACCTAGTTAAACACAAGACGAAGTTAGAGAAGATTCAGAGGTATGCCACCCGACTGGTCCCGGAACTGAGAGGAATGAGTTACGAGGAAAGGCTAAGGGAGCTGAACCTCACAACCCTGGAAAACAGAAGAGTAAGAGGAGACATGATAACCACCTACAAAATTCTCAGGGGAATTGACAGGGTGGACAAAGCCAAACTCTTTAGTGCGGGTGGAACACGAACAAGGGGACACAGGTGGCAACTTAGTACCCAGATGAGCCACAGAGATGTTAGAAAGAATTTTTTCAGTGTCAGGGTAGTTAACAAATGGAATGCATTAAGTAGTGTTGTGGTGGAAGCTGACTCCATACACAGTTTCAAATGTAGATATGATAGAGCCCAATAGGCTCAGGAATCTGTACACCTGTTGATTGACAGTTGAGAGGCGGGACCAAAGAGCCAGAGCTCAACCCCCGCAAACAGAACTAGGTGAGTACAACTAGGTGAGTACACACACACACACACACATTCATACCAAAACAGAGAGGCAGGGCCAGAAAACAGGATTGGTTCAACAGAAAATGCGAGAGAGCCAGAGATCAAAAGACACAAAAATGGAATCAATACAGGAAGAGGCCAAACCCCCAAACATACCAGCGATACAAAGATGCGAGAAACAACTACACGGCAGTGAGGAGAGAGGCAGAAAGAAATTTTGAAAAAGGGATTACAGACAAATGTAAAACAGAACCGGGTCTATTCTATAAATTCATAAACAACAAATTGCAGGTAAAGGATGATATACAGAGGTTGAAAATGGGAAATAGATTCACGGAAAATGAAAAGAAAATGTGTGAAACATTAAACGAAAAGTTCCAAAATGTGTTTGTACAAAATGAAATCTTCAGGGAACCAGATACAATAAGAATTCCAGAGAACAACATAGAGCACATTGAGGTGTCTAGAGATGAAGTGGAAAAAATGCTCAAGGAGCTAAATAAGAACAAGGCAGTTGGTCCAGATGGAGTTTCACCATGGGTTCTGAGAGAATGTACACCTGAGCTCAGCATTCCTCTTCAACTGATTTTTCAGGCATCCCTGTTTACAGGAGTTGTAGCTGATGTGTGGAAAAAGGCTAACATAGTTCCAATCTACAAAAGTGGAAGCAGGGAACTTTTGGGGAAGGGGAAGGGGGAATTAAGGGGAAGACACCCTTAATTATAGACCGGTATCATTGACAAGTGTAATAGTCAAAATATTGGAAAAAATAATTAAAACTAAATGGGTAGAACACCTGGAGAGAAATGATATAATATCAGACAGACAGTATGGTTTTCGATCTGGAAGATCCTGTGTATCGAATTTACTCAGTTTCTATGATCGAGTAACAGAGATATTACAGGAAAGAGATGGTTGGGTTGACTGCATCTATCTGGACCTAAAAAAGGCCTCTGACAGAGTTCCCCATAAGGGGTTGTTCTAGAAACTGGAAAATATTGGAGGGGTGACAGGTACGCTTCTAACATGGATGAAAAATTTTCTGACTGATAGAAAAAGGAGGGCAGTGATCAGAGGCAATGTATCGGACTGGAGAAATGTCACAAGTGGAGTACCACAGGGTTCAGTTCTTGCACCATTGATGTTTATTGTCTACATAAATGATCTACCAGTTGGTATACAGAATTATATGAACATGTTTGCTGATGATGCTAAGATAATAGTAAGGATAAGAAACTTAGATGATTGTCATGCCCTTCAAGATGACCTGGACAAAATAAGTATATGGAGCACCACTTGGCAAATGGAATTTAATGTTAATAAATGCCATGTTATGGAATGTGGAATAGGAGAACATAGACCCCACACAACCTATATATTATGTGAGAAATCTTTAAAGAATTCTGATAAAGAAAGAGATCTAGGGGTGGTTCTAGATAGAAAACTATCACCTGAGGACCACATAAAGAATATTGTGCGAGGAGCCTATGCCATACTTTCTAACTTCAGAATTGCTTTTAAATACGTGGATGGCGATACTGTATACTAAAGAAATTGTTCACGACTTTTGTTAGGCCAAAGCTAGAATATGCAGCGGTTGTGTGGTGCCCATATCTTAAGAAGCACATCAACAAACTGGAAAAGGTGCAAAGACATGCTACTAAGTGGTTCCCAGAACTGAAGGGCAAGAGCTACGAGGAGAGGTTAGAAGCATTAAACATGCCAAAACTAGAAGACAGAAGAAAAAGAGGTGATATGATCACTACGTACAAAATAGTAACAGGAATTGATAAAATCGACAGGGAAGATTTCCTGAGACCTGGAACTTTAAGAACAAGAGGTCATAGATATAAACTAGCTAAACACAGATGCCGAAGAAATATAAGAAAATTCACTTTCACAAACAGAGTGGTAGACAGAACAAGTTAGGTGAGAAGGTGGTGGAGGCCAAGACCGTCAGTACAGTAGTTTCAAAGCATTATATGACAAAGAGTGCTGGGAAGACGGGACACCATGAGCGTAGCTCTCATCCTGTAGCTACACTTAGGTAATTACACAGTGGTACCTCGGAATACGAGTGTCCCTGTATACGAGTTTTCCGGAATACGAGCAGGATTTGCTCGGAAAATTTACATCGGAATACGAGTGTTGCCTCGGAAGATGAGGACGTTGATACGTGTACAGACTGACCTAGCGCGTGGTGACATGGCGATCACCCCTCAATTTACCAGTGCCTCACCCGCAGTGACTATCCCGCCTGAATTCTTCACCAAGATTTACAGTGTTTTGTTGGATTTTTGTCCATTTGACCATGAAAGTTGTTGTTATATATATCCCCATGGGTCCCAAGAAAGCCAGTGGTAAGGTTCAACCTAAGAAAGTAGTTGTGAGTAGAGGCAGTAGAGGACGTCCCTACTTCATTAAGAAAATGTTTGAAGTATGAGAAGAACTGCAAAGTTTTGTTGAAAAAACTTACCCAGATAAAGCTGTAGCAGGCCATTACATTGACCATTTAAATGACAATGTGATGTCTTGCATCAAGCAAGTAGTGAGCCACAAGCAGGTCCTAGTTGTATGCAGGCAAAATGTGCCAGAGTGTGCACACCAGTGAAATCCTCACTGCCTGATGTGATAATGGAAGGGGACTCCCCTTCCAAATAGTAACCTCTCTCCTCTTCCTCCTCCCCATCTTCCATACGCCTACAGCATTCAACAGCAAGGTAAGTAATAGCTTGAACATAGTTTTGTAGGTTTATTTAGATGAATTAGGTATAAAAATTTAGTTTGAAGTGAGGTTTTTGGGGTAGTCAGGAACGGATTAATTCATTTCCCATTATTTCTTATGGGGAAATTAGCTTCGGAATACGAGTTTTCGGAATACGAGCCGTCTCCAGGAATGAATTAAACTCTTAAACTGAGGTACCCCTGTATATAATATTATATATTTACTTTAACCTTATATCGAAGTTCCCCCCCCCTCCCTGCCCCCAAGGTCAAAATACTAACCATTTCCCTGGATGCAACCCCCAACAAGAGTTGCCTAATTCCCAGGTACCAGGTGAACAGATGCACTAGGATATGTGCCCAAAGGATATGTGCATGCCCAACCATTTTCTCCTGACCGGGATTCAAACCTGAGATCCCTATTGCAGAAGGAAGTCAAATATACTACTTGTTTGCTACAGCAGCTGAGATTGGTTGGTTGGTCGCTGCCAGCTGGGGTAGTGATCACTGTCCTGCTGGTCATAACTAACACTTCTAATAAGCAAAATTATTTCTAGGTTAGAGGAAGCTGGAGTCCTCACAGACTGTAGTATAAACACACAAGAGGCTGATGACACCTTAGACTTCAACTTCTGTAATTCAGGTAATGATATTATCTTTTGGGGGAACCCCTTCGGCTCCCCGGAGCTATCCAGGCTGATATGTAATATATTAGACTTTGGCATCGGTCAGTCTGAATGGAGTTCGTAGGCCTACTGCAGACCACGGGTCAGAACCTGGCCCTCTCAGAGGGACACAAGGAGCAATGGCCTATAGAATAGCACGTGTGATTTGGAACATTCTATATCTGCCATCGATTGGGTCAGGTACCCAGGATGGGTAAGCATCCCAAAACAAACCCCTATTCTGGTTGAAACTATTACTGAAAGTCAAACGAGTGGACAGAACTCCTTAAAGAAAAAAAGCAAACGAGCATGACATCATTGCTTGCCGCGCCGTCGTCTGCGCAGCTCTCCCCTCACTGGGAGGGGGAAGGGTAGACCCCTCGTGCCGACAACCCACACCTTCAGTTCTGAGGCTGGATGTCAAAACACATGAAAAAGCCGCTGACTGGAGGAAGATAGGGATGCCGAGGAGCCTCCGGGTCTCCCAGAAAATGGTATTTAATTACTATCAACGCTGATTTTTTCCCAAAATCTTTAAGAAGGTAATTTTTTCTTGATGTGACATGCCGAGTCTGTATTCTGGAGCAGTTACAAATACTGTACACATGATGCAGTTTTGTAATTCAGGCAATCATTTGAACCCATCCTAATCTGAAAGTTGTATAGATACAGTACAGTCCTGTAATGAATACCTAAGTAATTACCTAAGTGTAGTTACAGGATGAGAGCAACGCTCGTGGTTGTCCATCTTCTCAGTACTCTGTCGTATAACGCGTTGAAAATACTGATGGTTTTGGCCTCCACCAACTTGTCACTTAGTTTGTTCCAACCGTCTACCACTATGTTTGCAAAAGAAAATTTTCTAATAGTTTTTTGGCACCTCTGCTTCCTTAGCTTGACTGTGTCTTCTTGATCTTGAAGTTGCTGGTTTCAGGAATTCCTCTTTGTCACTTTGCTGGTTCCTGTTAGTATTTTATAAGTGGTGATCATATTATCTCTGTTTCTTCTATCTTCTAGTTTTGACATATTTGATGCCTCTAGTCTCTCCTTGTAACTCAAGTATTTCAGTTCTGGAAATCATTTTGTAGCATGCCGTTGCACTTTCTGTGGGGAGCCCCTACGGCTCCCTGGAGCTTATCGGGCTAATGTATGTTATGTTAGACCGGGACATTAGCTATGGAGTTCAGACCCCTACCAGGAACCAGCGCCAGAACCGGGCCCCTTCAGAAAGGTTTCAGGGAGCAATGGCCCTGGGAAAACCCCATTGTGGTTGGGGGTTTTCCTTATCTGCCATTGACCGGGGTTAGGCACCCAGAAAGGTAGGCATGACAAAAGAAATGCCACATGGTAAGAAACTAAAACAAAAAACTGAACAGAGAGGTAGAAACTCCCTACAATCCCAAGGAAACAATCAAACAAGCAATTATCACAATTTACTGCTGTGCCGGTCATCCGCGCAGCCCTCCCCTCCCTGAGAGGGGGAAGGGGGGAAGGCCCCAGACCTCATCCCGCTGGCTGCCTTCAGTTCGTAAGTTAGTGTCAACCGGGATAGACGCTTCTCTGGCCTCAAATTCCTGAGCGGTGTTTGCCTTGTGTGGCGTTCTCTGCTGTCTTTGTGTGGTGTCCGGTGGCCAGGAGTACCTCATCAGTGCCGGGGCTGCATGCGCTTAGGGGCTTCCTTCCCTAGGTGCCCTGTGAGTACTGCCCCTGCGTGTCAGGGTTATCTTCCCTGGGGCGTTCGGGGACCTGCTCCCGTAGGGGTTCTTGCTGCTCAGCATTTGCCTCGCCCTTGGGGCCAGCTGGGGCTTGGGGCCCTTGTTTGGCCTTGGGTAGGGAGTGGTGTTGTGCTGGTTAGGTAGTCAAGGTGTTGCGCGATCTGCCACCTGAGCGGCGACCGGTTCCTGTTGGCTCTGGGGACGGTGTACTTTTGCGGGGTTTTTTTTTTTTTTTTTTTTTTTTGCCTGGTGAAGGTTCTGCCTCGTGGGTCTATAGTTCCCCTAATATTGTTTTGGTGGCCCTCTGTTAGGCCCCTGTGCTTGTTCACGTCCCAGGGGTTTCAGTTTTATCATCTACCCCTTGTTTTGTTTGGGTTTCTTAACCGGTTAGCAACACCTTGCCCGGGCTTTTTGTAGTTGTTACCTTACGGGCCCTGGAAACCCCTGTCGGGGCTCTGTGGATCCATGGATGCATCTCCCGAGTTCCAACCTGCCTTGTGCGGGTTTGAAGGTTGCTGTGTGCTCTTGTTTCAGGGTGACAGTCACCTGTTTTGCCTCCGTCATGCTGCCTGTTGGGTCAACGACACCTTTGACCTGGAGTCTTGCGAGTCGTGTTGTCTGCTTGTGCACCAGTTTTACTCTGATTATGTTCCAGTTATGGGAACAGGCAGCATCAGTGTTGCATGTTAGGTTTAGGTTACTGCAACGCGCTAGGTTGGTTTCCCACCTGGATGCCCTGAGACTACCCCGTTTTGGTTTTAGGGACCCGGACCTGGGGACGTTAGTCGCTTCGGCTCCTTCCGCGCTCCCTGGTCCTTCCCCTGTCGTTCATCCTGCACCTCCCCCCCTATGTCCAGCTCCAAAACGTCTGAGGGTTTCGGCCTCGGCACAGGGTTTAGTTGGTTATAAGACTCGGGTTGCCTCGGGGGCTGCCCCATCCAAGTTGGGGACGGAGGCATTTGAGCCGGTTCCTCCTGCCGAGGTTTCTGGGTCCCACCAGCAGACCCCCTTCTTGTCTGCCTTTCGCTTGGACTCTGCCTTTTCTTCAGGGGTAGAGGGTTTGGAGGACGGCTCTGCCCCGACATGGGGGATCCTGGGGCTGGAGAAGAGTCAACCTGGGGGTCTTGGGCCCCTTTGACCCTGCTTGGGTGCTTTTACCTTCCTTGCGGGGCTTATTGTTGCAGTGGGAGGGATTTTCTTACCCCCCCTTCCCTGTATGAGTATGATTTGGGTTCGGCTCCTCCCCGGGTTCGGTTCCGGGCGCGTTTGGGTACTTCGGCTTCGTCTTTCCAGAGGTTTTCTACTTCCCGTATCTCCGCAAAGGCGGCTCGGGAAGCTCTTGCTGCATACCTCTTGCGAGACCCGGGTTATGCCTCTGCGATGGATCCGTCCTCGTTTGAGTTCGGTTCTTCCCGTTTTTGGGTGCATTTGGAGGTTCCTGAGTCTTCCTGGCTGGCAGACTGCCCTTTCTTTTCATTGGGGGCGTGGCATGGGTTCTATCGGACCCGCACGCTTGATTGGCGTGAAACTTCTACTTTTATGCAGGTTTACCTGGGGGAGGGAGGGCGAGTTTGAGCACCTTAATGCGTGCTTGTTCGCTCCCGTGCTTTCTCGGGATGTTGGCCTTTTCTAGCTTCAAGTGCAGGTTCCTCGTCTTTCGGCTCCGTTGGTTGCGGAGGATTTGCGCGCTCGTGGGCATTTGGCTTCGGTCTTACTTTTCTTTTCCCTTCTCAAGAACAGGGCGCGGTGATTGCCCTGTTCGACGTTTGGGTTCTCGTAAGGGTCGTCGGCCCTTTCGGGGTTCGCCCCGTTAATGGGGCGATGGGGGTAAGCTCGCTTTGTTTGCCCACACTTGGTCCCACGATTTGTGGGCCATTTCGGCTGTGTCATCCGGCCTGCGGTGGTGTTGGGCGACTCGTCCTCCTATTGGGGGTTCGGGGCTAACAGGGCAGGTTTCTTCTCCTGTGCTTCGTCAAGTCGTCTTGGAATGGGTGCGCTTGGGCGTGGTCGAAACGACTCCGTCCCTCAGATGGGTTTCCCGTCTGTTTCCAGTGCCGAAACGGGACTGTGCGGATCTGAGGTTCATTCTGGACTTGTCCTGTCTGAACCCCTGGATTCCTTGCTCCTCCTTTCAGATAACTACTCTATCTCAGGTCCGGCTTCTGTTGGAGCTGGGTGCCTGGATGGTGTCCCTGGACCTCAAAGACGCTTATTGGCACTTTCTTATTCATCCAGGGTTCAGGGACTGGTTAGGTTTCGTGGTGGGGCATCACGCTTACTGCTTTCGATGCCTACCTTTTGGCTTGAATCTGGCACCTCGCGTTTTCACGCGTCAGACCCGGGTTGTGGTAACCCGTTTGTGTCTTTAGGGATTCGGGTTTTGGCCCCCCCCCTCGACGACTGGCTGGTGTGGGCTCCCAGTCAGTCAGCTTGTCTGCTCGCCAGGAATATGGTTCTTTTCCCAGTTCGCCAGGTTTGGGTTCCTGGTGAACTGGAGGAAGTCTCATCTGGTTCCGTCTCAGGTTCGGACCTGGCTAGGTCTTGTTTGGGATTCTCAGACCGCTTCCTTGGCTCTCCCTCCAGAGGCGTTGCTGCGGCTGTGGGCCTGCCTTCGGCTGTTTCTGAGGGGGGTCCTGAGTCACTCGGCGGTTACTCGAGCGGTTGTGCGGGAGTCTGAACTTCGCTATGCTAGTCTACCTGCATGGTCGGGTTTGGCTTTGGCGACTGTTTTGGTTCCTTTGGGGACGTCCCTTCCGCCCCTCTCGCGATCGTTGGGTTCGTCCTCTGGGGGCCTTGTGTCGGTTGCTGTGTCACTGGCTTCCTCTTTGAGGTTTTTGGGGTTTGGTGCCATGGCGCCTTCCCGAGCCTTTGCTCGATGTGTTCACGGACGTGTCGTCTCTCGGCTGGGGCTTTGTGACCAGTGCTCACCAGGCTGTTCAGGGACGGTGGGGTCAGTCTTTCCATCGGGCTCACAGTACGGTTCGGGAGTTCGCGGCAGTCTGATTTGCGCTTCGGAAGATTTGGGTCGCTTGGGGAACGACCATTCGCCTCCATTCGGACTGTTCTCCAGTGGTTCATTACCTGAACTGTGAGGGGGTTCTCTTCGGTCCTTGGCTCTTTGGGGTGGGTCCCTTCGAGTGGTTCGTCTGCTGGATTCTCGGGGTTTGGCTCTCCGTGCGGTTCATTTCCGGGGAGTGTCCAACGTTCTAGTGGATGGTCTGTCTCGCTTCATTCCCCTGTCTACGGAATGGACGGTCGATGATGACTCGTTTCGTTGGATCCGGCAGACGTACGGTCTCCCAGACGTGGACCTTTTCGCGTCGGCGTGGTCTCGGCGTCTCCCAATCTATGTGACACCCTTCCCCGACTGCGAGGCGTTCGCGGTGGATGCCTTTCGGCAGGACTGGTCGAGGTGGTTTACCTCTGTCCCCTGGTCCAGCTGTTGCTTCAGGTTCTGGTTCGGTTGGAGACATTCCCAAGGAGAGTAGTCCCATGTGGCCCCTTGGTGGCCGGCCCAGCCTTGGTTTCCGGCACTATTGGCTCGATGTCCGAACCTGGGGCATTTCCCGCGGCTCCGGCTCTTTCAGCAGCTAAGCCCGGTCCGGTATGGGACTGGTTCGACCTTCTCCTCTGCTCTTCGCGTCTAGTCTTTTTAACGCGGGTGTATCACCATTTCTATGGTGATCAGGTGGCTTCGTTGATGGTGTCCCACCTGAGAGCTTCGTCTCGGCGACAGTATGAAGTTTCCTGGCGTTCTTTGCGCCATTTTCTGGCTCTTCGTAGGTTGTCTTTTCTTTCGGATCGGGTTGTCTTGTCCTTTCTTTCTTGGCTTTTTCAGGACCGTCATTTGATGCCTAACACTGTCGCCTTGTATCGTGCGACATGTCAGAGCCGCTCAAGCTAGCATTTGGGGTGGACGTCACATCCGCCCCGTTCCGTAAGCTTTCTTGTGCTATGTTTCACCTCCGGCCTGCTCATGCGCCGCCTGAGCTGTCCTGGTCCTTGGACAGGATGCTCTCCTATCTTTCCTCTCCTCGGTTTGTGGTGGCCCCTTTGGTTCCAGATTGTTTTTCCAAGGCTTTGTTTTTGTTGGCACTGGCTTCGGGGCCAGGTAGGGGAGCTTCATGCTCTCCTCCGGCGCAGGGGTTTCTGCTCTTTTGGTCCTGGGGGTAGGTTTGTCCGTTTGCAGCCTTCTCCATCTTTTCTGGCTAAGAACGAGACGGCTGCTTTCTGGAGGGGGTCCGTGGGTCATTGATGCTTGGTTGGTTCGGCCGGGGGTGCATCATGTATTGTGTCCAGTTGCGGCTCTTTGCCGGTACCTGCGCGCTTCAGCTGGGGTGGCTGGGGATGCGCTTTGGGTTGATCCGGTTTCCCTCGTTCCCTGTTCCAGGGCTCGGGTCTGCCAGGTTGTTCGCAGGGTTATAAAGTCTAGCCAGGTTGTTCGCAGGGTTATAAAGTCTAGCCAGGCTGCAGTCTATTCTCGCGCCCATGATGTTCGAAAGTTTGCAGCTTTGGCTGCCGTGTTTGGTAACATATCCTGGGTTCATATTCGGGCGCATGGATTTTGGAAGTCGAACAGGGTCCTGGACGCCCGTTATTTGGTGAATGTACCTGTTTCTAGGCATTCTTGCATTGCTTTGGGGTCGCAGGTTGCAGCCAGTTGTCTCGACTTCGCGTTGAGGATTTTGTGGCCGCCACCTCCCGGGTAAGTCCCTATTTTCCTTCTCTTTGGGTATGTAGCTCCATGGAGCCATAGGAGCTCCCCACAGAAAACCAGCATTGAATGTAATGAAACGCCATTTTCTGGGTGAGTTCCGGAGGCTCCCCGGCTACCCTTCCTCCCTCCGGTCGGCATTTTTTTTCGCGGTTTTTGATATCCAGCCTCAGAACTGGGGTGGGGATCGCCAGCTTCCGGGGAGGGGGGAGCTGCGCAGACATGCGGCGCTGCTCATGTAACGTCATGCTTGTTTGGTCATTTTTCTTTTGGAAGTTCTGTCCACTCGTTTGATGATTTTCGCTGTTAACCTGAATAGGGGTTTGTTTTGGGGTGCTTACCTTTCTGGGTGCCTGTCCCGGTCAGTGGCAGATATAGAATGCTCCAAATCACATGTGCATTTCTATGGACCATTGCTCCCCGTGCCTCTGTGAGGGGGCCAGGTTCTGGCTCGTGGTTCCCAGTAGGCTAGAACTCCACGCACATTGACTGATGCAAAATAGTTAGGGTTAGTTAGCTAGTTATTCTATCAGCCATGAATAGCTCTGGGGAGCTACTGGGACTTACCCAGAAAATGATATTTTATTAAACTCAATGCTGTTTTTTTTCATTCCGAGTAGTCCTTTTTCCCGTTCTCAATCTCTGGATTTTATCCTCTATGTGCAGCTTGCTTTTAATGAATTTATAGAAAAGGCCTGGACCTTGTTTTTGATTTGTCTGCTATATCTTTCTCAAAGTTCCTTTCTGCATTTCTCCTCACTGTTGTGTAATTGTTTCTTGCTTGCTTGTAGTGTTGGTATATTTGTGGTTAGCCCTTTTCCTATATTGAGCCCATTTTCTTGTTTTCCTCCTCTGGCCCTATCACAGTTTCTGTTGAACCAATCCTGTTTTCTGGTCCTGCATCTCTGTTTTGGTATGAATGTTTGTGTTCCTTCATCGTATATTTTTCAAAATTTGGTATACATTTCATTTACTTCCTTGCCTAGCAACCCTTATCTTTGTATCTCTTGTATCTCTTTCTGTGTATGTAGACTTCCTGTCCTGAATAGATACTTTCCCTCCTACTGCTTGTACTCTAATATTTATGTTTATTGTACATTATTCAAGGAAACATGTTATCAAACATCTGTGACAGTCTTTTCCTATGATATTTTCTACCTTTACCCAGCTAGTCCCTTAAATATAGGACAATAGGATAATGATGAGAACAAAGTTAAAATTAATGTAATGCAAGGGTGTACCTTAAATGCTGTACAGTATATGCATATTTTGAGATTGATAGCATACACTGTGCATATTATATTTTCAGGTGTAAGATAAAAATCCTCACTTGTGTATATGTGAAATTTATGTAAAGAATTTACACTCAAGTCTTTCGCACTCCCCTGAGTGCTTTGACAAGGTCTGAGTATGTGGTTAGGACGAGACTTGCATCTCAATGTCTAATGACCATTGTGAGCATTGTACTCAACGTCTAATAGTCGTCTAATAGCAACGTCTAATGGCATTAGACGTTGATATGTAAGCCTCGTCCTTACCACACACTCAGACCTTGACAAAGCACTCAGGGAAGTGCGAAAAACTTGGTGTAAATTCTTTACATAAATTTCACAAATAAACATTTGTTGGTTTTTATCCTATGTTATTATGTCTGTGAGAAGAGATTACCATTACTTATTTTCAGGTGTGGTAAACAAAGTTATCATGAGATCAGAGTGCCTTAGAGATATCTTCTCTGAGCTTGACATGTCCAGTGATGTTTTAGAGATTGTCATGTCACCTGCTGCACCTTATTTTCGTCTCTCTACTTTTGGCAGTTATGGAACAAGTCACGTAAGTTTTATTGGCTACTAAAATTTTATGGACTATATGCCCAGTAAGGGCATGTTTGTTCACTTATGTGCAGGGAACAAAGTATTTATGAGGCAATCCATTATCAGTCTGGATTCACAATTGTATTTAGCTGGATAAGAGTATTTGTGAATCAGGTGAGATTTAACATCAAACTGGTTGGGGATAGGGTTAATAGTGCAACCACATGTGTACGAACCTCGGAGGAATGAATCTGGTTCATCTGAACAAATTTTGATGCAACCCTAAATATTCCCTACATCAAGTTTGCTTAATTGAGGGCAACCCATCATCTTTAAACTGATAGTAGTTATGGCAACTATTTAACTGAACGTACCAATCTGCACTGAACACAAAAGAACATACCTCTTCTGTAGGGGCCTCGTATAGCCTGGTGGATAGCGCGCAGGACTCGTAATTCTGTGGCGCGGGTTCGATTCCCCGCACGAGGCAGAAACAAATGGGCAAAGTTTCTTTCACCCTGAATGCCCCTGTTACCTAGCAGTAAATAGGTACCTGGGAGTTAGTCAGCTGTCACGGGCTGCTTCCTGGGGGTGGAGGCCTGGTCGAGGACCGGGCCGCGGGGACACTAAAGCCCCGAAATCATCTCAAGATAACCTCAAGATTCTGTCATGCTAGGGACTCATAATCATCTTATAGATTGGTCTTCTTCTAAAATAATCTTTCCTGTCTCTACTCTTCACAGACGCCGTCTTGTTGAATTGGCTCTGATTCACAACATGCCCATCATGAACCTTAGTACTGGCTTTGCTGCAGTTGATTCTTCCCTTTCACAGTCAATACATAAATGTTCTAACCTTCTTAACAAATGTGATCTGACTTAGCTTTGACCCCTCTAGGGTCTGTTTCCGTTCTCTCTCCATCGTTATTAAAACAAATTTCACTTCACCATTTAGCCTCTTGCAGTTTTGTTTTCATTTTTTTCCTTTCTATTTTTCCAACATTTTCCTATTTATACCCTTTCTGTGGGAAGCCCCTATGGCTCCCTGGAGCTTATCGGGGCTAATGTATGTTATATTAGACCGGGACATTAGCTAAGGAGTTCAGACCTACCAGGGACCAGCGCAAGAACCTGGCCCCTTCAGATAGGTTTCAAGGAGCAATGGCCCTGGAAAACCCCCTTGTGGTTGGGGTTTTCGTTATCTGCCATCGCCTGGGGTCAGGCACCCAGAAAGGTAGGCAAAACAAAACAAACCCCACATGGTAAAAAACTAAAACAAAAAAACAAACAGAGAGGTAGAAACTACCTACAATCCCAAGGAAACAAGCAAACAAGCAAACATCACACTTTACTGCCGATCGTCCGCGCAGCCCTCCCCGCTACGAGAGGGGGAAGGGGGAGCCCCGGACCTCCCGCGCCGGCTGCCTAGCATCAGTTCGTAAGCTAATGTCAACCGGGATAGACGCTTCTCTGGCCTCAGTTTCCTAAGCAGTGTTTGCCTTGTGTGGCATTCACTGCCGTGTGTTGTGTTGTGCGGTGGCCAGGAGTACCTCATCAGTGCCGGGGCTGCATGCGCTTAGGGGCTTCCTTCCCTAAGCGCCCTGTGAGTACTGCCCCTGCATGACAGGGTTATCTTCCCTGGGGCGTTCGGGAACCATTCCTGTAGTGGTTCTTGCTGCTTGGCAATTGCCTCGCCCTTGGGGCCAGCTGGGGCTTGGGACCAGCTAGGGCTTGGGGCCAGCTGGGGCTTGGGGCCCTTGTTTGGCCCTGGGTAGGGACTGGTTTTGTGCTGGTTAGGGCGTCAAGGTGTTGCGCGAGCTGCCACTTAAGCGGCGATCGGTTCCTGTTGCCTCTGGAGACGGTGTACTTTTGCAGGGTTTTTCTTTTGTTTTTATTTTCAATCGCCTGGTGGGGGTCTGCCCAGTGTGGCTATAGTTCCACTGGTAGTGTTTGGTGGCCCTCTGCTAGGCCTCCGTGATTGTACACGTCGCAGGGGTTTTCAGTGCTATCCTCTACCCTCTTGTTATTTTTGGGTTTCTTAACCGGTTAGCAACACCTTGCCCGGGCTTCCCGTAGCAGTCAGCCTACGGGCCCTGGAAACCCCTGTCTGGGCTCGGTGGACCATTGAATGTGTCTTCCGGGTTCCAACCCGTCTTGTATGGGATCGTTGGTTGCTGTGCCCTTGTCTCAGGGTGACAGTCGCCACTTTTACCTCTGTCATGTTGCCTTTTGGATCACTGACACCTTGACCCGGAGTCTTGCGAGAGATATTCTCTGCTTGTTCTCCATTACTCTCCTTATGTTATTTCTGTTCAGAGTACAGGCAGCATCGGTGTTGCAAGCTAGGTTAAGTTGCTGCAACACGCTAGGTTAGTTTTCCACTCGGATGCCCCGGGGCCGCCCCGTTTTGGTTAGGTGCTGTTCTCCTCTTTCCCTCCCTGTTCCCGGCTCCGGACTGTTTGCGGGTTTCTGGGTTGGTGGCGGGGTTTAGTTGGGCCGAGCCTCGGGCGGTTTCAAGGGCTGCCCCGTTCGGGTTGGGGACGGAGGTTTTCGAGCCTGTTCTTCCTGCCAAGGCTTCTGGGTCTTACCACCCGCCCTTGCTTGCTGCCTTTCTCATGGACTCATCCTTTTCTTTAAGTGCAGAGGGCTCTGAGGATGGCTCTGCCCCGGGGCCTCTGTTGCAGGTTCCCGGGGCTGTGGGGAATGCTTGCTAGCAGTTCTGGGGCTGTTTGCCCCTTCCTGGGTTTTCTGCTTCTACGCGGAGTTTTTCGCCCATCCAGTCTGCTTGCTTCCCACTTTTGTGTGCACATGTGTATGTGCATACGCACGTGTGTGTAATACACCTTGTGTGTGTGTGTATTTATGTGTATGTGAATATATATATGTAAGCCTACCCCTTCCATTTATCTTTCTTTCTCTTTCCTTTTCTTTCTCTCTTCTCCCTTTTTCTGTTTATTGTCTTCTCCTACGCTCCCTTGCTATCCTCTTCTTTTTGCTATCTCCTCATTCGGTGGTTATAATAGGAGCTGCCTCGTATGGGCCAATAGGCCCTCTGCAGCTCTTATTAATATTACTATCCCCTCTACTGCACCTTACTTTGCTCCTCAGCTCTCTCTTGCCTATTTATTGCCTGTCTCTACTTCCTCATCACAATCGACTTGAGAATGGTCCAGGACGGACCGAAACGCCGTCATCCCTTCACCTTCTAGTGTGTGGTCTGGTCAACATACTTTAGCCACGTTATTGTGACTCATCGCCTGCATATATATGTATGTGTACATAATATATGCGTATACAGTATTTGTATGTATACGGGGCTCTGTTCCCTTCGCTGTTGACAGGGTGCTGGGGGAGCAGCTTGCTCTGTTGACTCTCACATGGTCCTGCAGTTAGTGGGCGCTTTTGGTTGTCTTCCGGCCTCTGGTAGCTGTGGCGGATGGCTTCTCCTCCTTTGGGGGTTTAGGGGTGGCGGGGTGGGCTTCTTCCCCTGCGCTTCGTCATGTCATCTTAGTGGGTGCGTTGGACGTGGTTGATCCACCCCATCCTTCTGGGGTTCCCGTCTGCTCTATGCAGACACGAGCCTGGCGAATTTGCGGTTCTTCTGGACTTCTTCAATCTGCGCCCTGGATTCTATGCCCTCATCGGAGGACTGTTGTCTCCTGTCCGGCTTCTGTTGGGGCCGGGTGCCTGGATGGTGGCCCTGGACCTCCAGGTCAATTCTTGGCATGTTCCTCTCCAGTTTTCCGGAACTGGCACAGTTGGTGGTGGGACTACAGGCCCCACCACCACCGCTTTTGTTGCGTTCCTTATTTTGTAATTGGCATTGGGTGTATTTACGCATCTTTACCGGATCTTGGTGCCCTGTCTGAGTCTACTTGGGATTCGGTGTCTGGCCTACCTCGACGACTGGCTGGTGTGGGCTCCCAGTCGGTCCGCTTGTCTGCTCGCTAGATGTGTGGTTTTTTCCAGATCGCCGGGTTTGGTTTCCTGGTGATCTGGAGGCCGTTCCATCTGTTTCTGTCCTGGGTTCAGACCTGGCTGGGTCTTGTTTAGGGCTCTTGGGCCGCTCCTTGTCCTTCCCTCCAGAAGTGTTGCTGCGGCTTTGGTCCCGCCTTCGGCTGTTCATGAGGGGGTCCTGGGTTGCTCGGTGGTTGCTCGAGCAGTTGTGTGGAAGTCTGAACTTCGATGTGCTGGTCTGCTCGCAGGGTCGGGTTTGGCTTCGGTGTCTGTTTGGCTCCTTCGGAGACTCCCCTTCCGCCTCTCTTGCAATCGTTGAGTTCGTTTTCCGAGGATCTTGTGTTGGTGCTGCGTCACAAGCTTCCTCTTTGGGGGTTTCGGGGTTCCGTGCTTTGGCACCTCCCTGAACCTTCGCTCGATGTGTTCACGGACGGGTCATCTCTCGGCTAGGGCTTTGTGACCAGTGCTCACCAGGTCGGCCGGGGATGGTGGGCTCTGTCCGTCCGTCGGGCTTACAGCACGGTTCGGGAGTTCGTGGCTGTCTGGTTTGTGCTTCGGAGAGTTTGGGTCACTCGGTGCTCTACCATTCAGCTCCATTCGGACTATTCTCTGGCAGTTCTTTGCCGGAACCACAGGGTTTCTCTTAGGTGTTTGCCTTTGGGGTGGCTCGTTTGCTGGATTCTCGGGGTTTGGCTAACCGTGAGGTTTATGTCCGGGGTGTGTCCTACGTCCTGGTGGACAGCCTGTCTCAGTTCATTGTTCTGTTTGCAGATTGGCCAGTCATCGTCGACTCTTTTCGTTGGTTCTGCCGGACATATGGACTCCTGGCCATGGACGTCTTTCAGTCGGCGTGGTCTAGGCGTCGCCCATTCTATGTGGCGCCCTTATCCGCCTGTGAGGCGTTCACGGTGGATGCCTTTCAGCATGACTCGTCGAGGTGGGGTACCTGTTCCTCTTCTCCTGGTTCAGCTTTTGCTTCAGGTTTTGGCTCGGTTGGAGCCCATTCCCAAGAGAGTAGTCCTCATGGTCCCTTGGTGGCCAGCCCAGCTTTATTTTCAGATGATGCTTGATAGGTGTCCGAACCCGGGGCGTTTTCCCGCAGCTCCGCCTCTTTCGGCAGGTCAGACTGGTCCTGTACGTGACTGGTTACGCCTTCTCCTCGGCTCTTCGTGTCTGGTATTTTGATGCGGGTATCACCATCTCTGTGGGGATCAGGTGGCTTTGTTGATGGTGTCCCACCTGAGAGCTTCGTCTCGACGACAGTATGATGTTCCTGGTGTTTCAATGCACCTTTTTCTTGCTCTTCGTAGGTCGTCTTTTCTTTCGCATCAGGTGGTCTTGTCCTTTCTTGGGTTTTCAGGTCTACAGTTATTTGATTTTTCTTACCGTCGCCTCATTTTGTGCAGCACTGGCGGAGCCGCTCCGGCTTGCTTTTAGGGTGGACGTCACATCTGCCCCATTCCGTACGCTTTCTCGTGTTTTGTTTCACCTCCGGCCTGCTCATGTGTCGCCTGAGCCGTCCTGGTCCTTAATCAGGGTGCCCTCTTATCTTCTCAGTTTGTGGTAGCCCCTTCGGTTCAGGTTTCTGCTCTTTGGTACTGGTGGTAGGTTTATACGTTTGCAGCCTTTCTCTGTCCTTTTGGAGACGGTTGAGACGGCTGCTTACCGGAGGGGGGTCCTTGGGTTATTGATGCTTGATTGGTTCGGCCGGGGGTGCGTCCTGTGTTGTCCAGTTGCACTTTTTGCCGTTACCTGTGTACCGTGTTTGGGGACGCGCTTTGGGTTGATCCAGTTCCCCTCGTTCCCTGTTTCAGGGCTCGGGTCTCCCAGGTCATCCACAGAGTTTTTAGGTCTTCCAGCCTGCGGTCTATCTTTGCGCCCGTGCTGTTCGGACTTTTGCAGCTTTTGCTGCTGGGTTGGTGACGTCTAGGGCTCATTTCGGGCCCGAGGATTTGAGGGTCGCACAGGTTCTTGGCCGCTCGTTCTTTATGCACGTGTCTGCCCCTGTGCGTTCTTGTTGCCTTGGGTCGCAGGTTGCAGCCTGTTGTCTTGGCTTCGCGTTGCAGAATTTGTGGCGGCCGCCTCCCGGGTCAGTCCTTTCTTTTCCTTCTCTTTGGGTATGAAGCTCCAGGGAGCCTCCGGGGCTCCCCACAGAAAACTAGCATTGAATGTAATGAAACGGCATTTTCTAGGTGAGCCCCGGAGGCTCCCTGGCAACCATCCTTCCCACTGGTTGGCGGTTTTTTCACGTTGGTTGAAGCTTAGCTTCCGAACTGATGCTAGGCAGGCGGCGCGGTGAGGTCCAGGGCTCCCACCTCCCCCCTCTCGGGGCAGGGAGGGCTGCGTGGACGATTGGTGCGACAGTAAAGTGTGATGTTTGCTTGTGTGCTTATTTCCTTGGGATTGTAGGGAGTTTCTACCTTTCTGTTCATTTTTTTGTTTAAATTTTTTACCATGTGGGATTTGTTTTGTTATGCCTACCTTTCTGGGTGCCTAACCCCGGTTGATGCCAGATAAGGAAAACCCCAACCACAAGGGGGGTTTTCCAGGGCCATTGCTCCCTGAAACCTCTCTGAAGGGGCCAGGTTCTGGCGCTGGTCCCTGGTAGGTCTGAACTCCTTAGCTAATGTCCCAGTCTAATATAACTTGCATTAGCCCGATAAGCTCCAAGGAGCCTCCGGGGCTCACCCAGAAAATGGCGTTTCATTACATTCAACGCTGGTTTTTTTATATTTTTGTGCATGGGCAGATATGTGTAATTACCTAAGAGTAATTATAGGATGAAGCTATGCTCATAGTGTCCCATCTTCCCAGTACGCTTTGTCATATAACTTTGAAATTAAGATGGTTTTGACCTTAATCATTTTCTCACTAAACTTGTTCAAACAATCTACCACTGTCTTTGCAAAACAGACCAAAAATGGAATATGAACGCTCTCATTTTTTACCAGTTTTGTTTCCATAGCTTATATCTATGACTTCTTGTCCTTGAAGTTCCAGGTTTCAAGAATTTTTCTTTGTTAATTATGTTGATTCTTATTACTATTTTGTATGCAGTGATCATATCGCCTCTTATTCTTCTATTTTCAAGATTTAGCATATTTAACCTCTCCTCGTGGCTCTTGTTTTTCAGTTTGGGAAGCTATTTTGTAGCTTGTCTTTGTAACTTTTTGTTGATGTGCTTCTCGAGATATGTGCACCATAAAACAGACCAAAATTCCATTTTTGGTCTCACAAAAATCGTGAACATCCATAGTTGCACTTTAAGGGTTAAATTTTTGTTTATCAGTTAAATGTTTAATTTGTTTTTTTCTAGACTGATATTTCCAAAGAGAGTGACATGATAGAAAACTTTGCTTGCACACGAACCATGAGTCAGCGCTACAGGCTGGGTCTTCTCCGACCTTTGTCCAAACCACTCACGGTGGCCCAGAAGGTGTCGGTGAGGACGGATGACCGAGGTTTCCTGTGTTTCCAGTTCATGATTAAAACAGAAGATAATCACATTTGTTTTGTGGAGTTCTTTGTGAGTATTGAACACTTATTTTGGAAACATCTAGATTTGAATATAATCATACTTCTTCCTAGTGGGTCCCTCAGTGGCACCCCAAACTATCGACTTTGTAGCCTCCAAATGAATCAAATGAGCCTATCCCACTAGGCTCTAAGGAATCACAAGCATCTGCCAGAACCCAGGACCAAAATCTGATCAGAGAACTGAAAGAAAACCACCAGAAAGGTAGAGCACACCAAAACCAGCAACTACATGGATAGCATTTGTAACCTTAATATAAATTTTGTTTATACTCATTGCCTAGGTCCAACTACTAGTTAGCAACACTCGTTTGTCACCAGATGGTAGTCTCACTCACCCAAGGGTCTTGGCTAGCCAACTGTCATTCATCTGGTGCTTTTGCTTCCAGATGCTGCACTACTCTATGAGCATCAGCCTTCAACTAAGTGTTTACTTTTCTTTTGGACCTTGTCCTATGCTGGGGCCTGTGCTTGTGTCTGTTCATTTTCAATGGACCTTGTCCTATGCTGGGGCCTGTGCTTGTGTCTGTTCATTTTCAATGGACCTTGTCCTATGCTGGGGCCTGTGCTTATGTCTGTTCATTTTCAATGGACCTTGTCCTATGCTGGGGCCTGTGCTTATGTCTGTTCATTTTCAATGGACCTTGTCCTATGCTGGGGCCTGTGCTTGTGTCTGTTCATTTTCAATGGACCTTGTCCTATGCTGGGGCCTGTGCTTGTGTCTGTTCATTTTCAATGGACCTTGTCCTATGCTGGGGCCTGTGCTTATGTCTGTTCATTTTCAATGGACCTTGTCCTATGCTGGGGCCTGTGCTTATGTCTGTTCATTTTCAATGGACCTTGTCCTATGCTGGGGCCTGTGCTTATGTCTGTTCATTTTCAATGGACCTTGTCCTATGCTGGGGCCTGTGCTTATGTCTGTTCATTTTCAATGGACCTTGTCCTATGCTGGGGCCTGTGCTTATGTCTGTTCATTTTCAATGGACCTTGTCCTATGCTGGGGCCTGTGCTTGTGTCTGTTCATTTTCAACTTTGTGTTTCATCTGTCAACCTGTTGTTCTGTATGCCCAATTCTTTGTTTGCCTAAGCTTCACGTGAAGATTTGCTTTCATTAGTAGTCATTCGCATTGCCCAACCCTTCAGTCAGTGGTTTTCTTCCCTGAGGAAAAACTCCCAAACCTTCCTTTAGAAGGTTTGGAAGTCTACTCCTTGGAGTCTACTTCACTTGAAGGGCCTTGCCCTGGGTAGTGCATGTAACCCGCTCCACTGTACGGCTTGGTAGTTGGGATAGAATTCGTTTTTATATGGGTATGCTGTGCGAGTTTTCTGGCTCTAGGCTCCAGCAACAACTTGCGCCTTCACTACGTTATTTTTCAGGTCGGGGTAGGTGTGGGTTCCCTGCTAGTTTGTCAGGTTGGTTTTAGTAGTGCCCCAATAGTTTTAATTTTCAGGAAGGTTCTGTGCTATGAATTAGCTGCTTGTCACTCTTTTTATCTCTGCCATCTGCATGCGGGGTCAATCAATATTTTCTTCCCCAATGCAGTTGGATTTTTGTAGTTGGCCATCAGTGTTAGCCATATAGCTTCCAAGCTACCCCACTGAGCTCTAATGAATCTCAAAACCAGGACCAAAATTTGATCGGAGAACTAAGGGAAACCACCAGAAAGGTAGAGCACACTAAATCAATCAACATACATTTGTAACCCTAAAGTAAACTGTTTACACTTATTGCCTAGGTCTAACTAGTAGTTAGCAACTCTCATTCGCCACCAGATGGTAGTCCCGATCATCAAAGGGCCTCGTTTGGGTCTCTTGGTCGGCATCTCTTCCCCTGCCTTCAGCAGCTTTGCTTCACCTACAGCTTCGACACTGGGGTTGGATCAGTCATGGGTGACTTGTCAGATGATTGAGCAGTTGTGTAGGAGCCTGAACTTTGCCTACATTGTCTTCCCCTGGGCACTGTTTGGCTCTAAGCATTGTACTGGTTTCTCTAGTTCTGTTCCTTCCACCACTCCTGGGATCAGTCGGCTTCGCTGACTTCCCCTTTTAAATTTTTTGGGGTTCAGTTTCATGGTGTCATCCTCCTCTATCACTCAATGTGTTTATGGATACTTTATCTCTGGGTTGGGGCTTTGTGACTAGTATTCACCAAGCCACCCAGGGGTCAGTGATTGTGTTTGATACTTTGGGCACACAGCATGGTGCATGTGTTTGCAGCTGTGTGGCATGCCCTGATGAGGACTTAGCTTCCTCTGGGTTTGGCTATCCAGCTTCACTCCAATTATTCCACAATGGTTTGTTGCCTGAACTGTGGGGGGATCTACAGTTCGTATCCCTGTAGAGCAGGGCACTTTGGGTAGCTCGACTTCTGGCTTCTTGGGGGGTTTTGTTCTGCATGCAGTTTACCTGTGGAGTATGTCCTATGGCCTTGCAGACAAGTTGTTTCACTTTCAGTCCGTTTCCACAGAGTGAACCATTGACAAAAAGTCCTTCCGTTGGCTCTGAAGGACATTTGTATCTCTGTGGTGGATTCCTTTGTGTCAGTATAGAACCAGCACCTTCCCTCTTGTGTAGCTCCATTCCCCAATTGCGAGGCTTTCACAGTGGAGGCCTTTTGACCAGACTGGCTGAGTTGGAGGTGCATTTACCTTGTACTCCAGTTCAGTTGTTGCTTTGGGTGTTGTCCAGTCTGGAGTTGTGCTCAGAGAGGGTGAACCTTTTGGCTCCTTGGTGGCTGACCCAGTCATGGTTTCTGATATTTTTGGCCCTTTGCATGTTTCTCTGGCTCTACCTTTTCTAGCAGATCAGCCCAGCATTGTACTAGGCTGGTTCAAACTCTCATCTGCTCTATGTTTAGAGTTTTTGATGCATGTCATTTGTATAGTTAGCAAGTGGTTGGTTTGTTAGTGTCCCACCTGCCTCTTCAGAACAGCAGTATGAGGTGGCCTGGCACTCCTTTGGCTACGTTTTGTGCCTTCACTGTCTGCCTTTGGTCTTTGTTAGGTCTGTTCTCTCCTTTTTGTCATGGTTGTTTCTCAATTGCCATCTCACGGTAAATAATGTCCCCTCTTATTGTTCGCCTTTGGCAGAGCTGCTGCTACTTTTGTTGAATGTCAACATCTCCACAGCACTATTCCTTAAGTCCTTTGAGGACTTGGGGGGTCCTTTGATGATTGATTATTGATGGTTAGTTGATTCGGCCAGCGGTGCATCAGTTGTATCCTGTGGCAGGTCTTTACTGCTACCTGTGTACTACTTGTTCTGTCTTGGACACTATGCTGGTTGACCCTGTTTCTTTGGTTCCATGTTCCAAGGCTTGCATTTCGTGTGTTTCCACTGCATTATCATATCTACCCAATCTGTGATCTACCCTCAGGCCCAGTCTACCCTCAGGCCCAGTTTACCCTCAGGCCCAGTCTACCCTCAGGCCCATGATGTTTGTAAATACAGTACACAGCTTTCACTGTCTTCTTCTCTAATATGTCCTGGGCTGATATTTGGGCTTGGGGGTTTTGGCATTCTAAAATGATCCTTGTGATCCAGTATTTTGTAAATGTTCTTGATCATGTGTGGTATTGGGCTGTGTCGGCCTAGACACAGAGAAGAGAACCTAGCCTAGGGTTTTCTTCTTTGTCTTAGTGTTTGCCATCTCTCCTCCTCCCTGGTAATTCCCTTCCTTGTTCTCTGATTAGTTAGCTTCAGGGAGCCACTGGGGCTCCTTCAGAAAAAGGCATTTCATTACATTTAGCAGCGTGGTGGTACAGCATTTGACTTTGCATCACACGGACGGAGGTTCTAGTCCCAGAAAGGGCAGTTGGAACTTTCAGTTATTTAAGGTGAGACCTGTATATAACTCAGGTTTATCATTTGATGTTTAACACTTTCGCGCTTTAGATTAGCGATAACTCGTCGCCGTTTTTTCTTACGATTCCGCATAACAGCCTACTTTTCTCGTCCATCGAAAAAATATTTCTATAAATTCCATTTTTTAACCGAAATGGATGGGGATACTTTTGTTTTGTAGAGAATTTATTTGCGAATTTTTTGGTACCAGAATGAATATTATATCACATAAACTTCTATGAGTAAAAAAAAAAATACACAAAGTATGTTTGGGGGTGTGGCGAGCGTGTGGCAGTGGGTTCCCTTTAGCCGTTGATATATCCAACACGTGGGAAATATTTGTATGTGTTATGTATATGTCTGTGTAGGGAATTTTACTGCGATCACTGTCATACAAATTATAAAATGTTTCAACAAGTATAAACATGACAAACATCAAACGAACGAAAACAATGCATTCGTTTCTGCCGCGAACGCATACTGAGTGACGTGGTTCTATATTTGGCGCTTCTCTTACACATGCTTTGTACAAATGTTATACAGTTCATCTTATAGAAAATTTTATTGCGAACACATTGGTATAAAACAGAAATACGTACATAGAAAAGTAGGGTCAGGAAACGTATAAACTTTCCAAGCATGATTTCCCCCCTGTGTTTTCGCCAGTGCGCTCACGGCTAACTACTCTCCACTTCACACACTCTTGCGGGTGGGCAATTACCTATATTAAACATTCATATGCATATGTCCGTGTAGAGAATGTTATTGCGATTCCAATGATACCAAAATTAGCGATGTAGGACAACTGTAGGCTTCGCAACCATTAAGAGAGTGGAAACATTTTGTTGCTGTTTGGCGGTCTCGGCGAGTGATCTGCATAGTTTTTTATTTGGTGTTGATACTCCTTATGCTTGGGCGGCATTTTATAGGTATGCTCTTATAGACAATTTCATTGCGAACACAGTGATACCAAATTTAAATACGTGCGCCTTCAATTATTGTCAGGACAGTCAAAAGAGTGTACACTTTTTCGGTCTTACCGCGTAGGCGCGCGAAGTGCCGAAAGCATCTGGGGTATTGTTTTTTTTGAGCGCCGAGAGCGCGAAAGTGTTAATTACCTAATTGTAGGTACACTTAAGATGAGGATGATTGCTATGCTTGTGGTGTCCCGTCTTTTAAACAGTCATATAATGCTTTGAAACTACAGTTCTGACGGTTTTGGCCTCTACCACCACCTCACTTAGCTTGTTCCAACCGTCTACCACTATTTGCAAAAGAAAATTTTCTAATATTTTTTGTGGCACCTTTGTTTCCTTATCTTGGGTCTGTGTCCTTTCCCCTCGTTCCCTGTTTCAGGGCTCGGGTCTCCCAGGTCATCCGCAGAGTTTTCAGTCTTCCAGCCTGCGGTCTGTCCTTGTGCCTGTGCTGTTCGGACGTTTGCAGCTTTTGCTGCTGTGTTGGTGACGTCTAGGGCTCATTTCGGGCGCAGGGATTTGAGGGTCGCACAGGTTTTTGGCCGCCCATTCTTTAGGCGCATCGCTCCTGTGCGTTCTTGTTGCCTTGGGTCGCAGGTTGCAGCCTGTTGTCTCGGCTTCGCGTTGCGGAGTTTGTGGCGGCCGCCTCCCGGGTTAGCCCTTTATTTTCCTTCTCTTTGGGTATGAAGCTCCAGGGAGCCATAGGGGCTCCCCACTGAAAAGCAGTGTTGAATGTAATGAAACGCCATTTTCTGGGTGAGTCCCGAAGGCTCCCTGGCAACCCTCCCTCCCATCGGACGACGGTTTTTTCGCGTTGGTTGAAGCTTAGCTTCCGAAGTGAAGCTTGGCAGCCGGCGCGGTAGGTCCAGGGCTCCCCTCTCTTACTCTTGTTTGATGTTGATGTTTGCTTGTTTCCTTGGGATTGTAGGGAGTTTCTTCTTCTCTGTTTGTTTTTTTGAGTTAGTTTTTTACCATGTGGGGTTTGTTTTGTTATGCCTACCTTTCTGGTGCCTAACCCCGGTCGATGGCAGATAAGGAAAACCCCAACCACAAGCGGGTTTTCCAGGGCCATTGCTCCCTGAAACCTCTCTGAAGGGGCCAGATTCTGGCGCTGGTCCCTGGTAGGTCCGAACTCCTTAGCTAATGTCCCAGTCTAATATAACATACATTAGCCTGATAAGCTCCAGGGAGTCTCCGAGGCTCACTCAGAAAATGGCGTTTCATTACATTCAACGCAGGTTTTTTAGGTCCAGATAGATGCAGTCAACCCAACCATCTCTTTCCTGTAAAATCTCTGTGGCTCGATCATAGAAACATGAGTAAATTCGTTACACAGGATCTTCCAGATCGAAAACCATACTGACTGTCTGATATTATATCGTTTTTCTCCAGGTGTTCTACCCATTTAGTTTTTTTTTATTTTCTCCAATATTTTGACTATTACACTTGACAATGATACAGGTCTATAATTGAGGGGTCTTTCCTGTTGCCACTTTTGTAGATTGGAACTATGTTAGCCTTTTTCCACACATCAGCTACAACTCCTGTACACAGGGATACACAGTGCCCCGCTGGGCATGCTAAAGTGTTGAGAACCTGCTACTGTAGAGCCACTGTGGGGAAGCCCTCCCAGAAAGAGTGATATGATATCAGAGGTGCTAAAAGTACAGTGGAACCTCTATTAACGAGTGGCTCTATTAACGAGTTTTTCCAGTAACGAGCAAGCCACTCGCAGCAAATTTATCTCTATTGACGAGCTCGTCTCTATTAACGAGTGAAACCACATGACGCTTCCTAGCGTCTCGCGGGTTCTCGCAAATTCTCGGACGCCTCCGACGCCAGTGTTGTTGTTGTATCTCACACGACAAGCATCCCTCTGGATTTATTTGAGCTTTTCTTTGAGTTTTTAGTGGTTTTGCGACTACAATTTGTAACACGCGATGTCTCCAAAGAAGCTGCTTGCTAAAGATAGTGTTGTCAGAAGGAAGAAAGACACACTTACTGTGGATTTAAAGAAGGAAATTATAGCAAAGCATGAGTGTGGTGTCTGTGTGATTGATCTCACAAGGAAGTATGGCAGGTCCTCATCAACAATTTACACCATTAGTAAGGGAATGAGGAGGTAAGGGAGGATGCTGCCTCTTCCACTGAGATCAGGGAAGTGTTTGGAATGTTTGAAAAGGTGAACGCATTCTTGGAAAAGCTGCCCTGATAAAGCAGTGACAACCCGGTGTGTGAAAATGTTTAATTAATTTATCACTTTGTGATAACACTTTATGAAAGTGTTATCACTTTCGCAGGTATATGTCGCTTGAACGTAACACTTTTTTTCTATTGAATGCACCCAAACACCACGCTCAAGCGTCATTTGAGCAAATATTTCTATAAAATCCAATTCTTATCCGATCGACTTGGGGATTGTATACATGTTTGCCATGAAATTTCCGTTTTCTTTAATAACCACATTGCCTATTTGAGAAAACGGCATTGTATTGTATCATCGTGGGAAGACTATTATATTGTTGACACAACGAGTGTAATCAACGTAGTTTTTTATTTGGTGCTGGTCTAACGCATCCTTGTGTGACATTTGAAATGAAATTTGGGTGAAATTCCCAAGAAGAGAGAGTCCGCCTGACTCAGAGGTGGATTCTCCTTCCACACCATAACTCCTCTCCTCCTTCCCACCTCTCCATCGTCTCCCTCAAGCCAGCAACTACTCTTCATAAGGTAAAGTAAATATTAAAACACTACAACAAAACATTTATATTTACATGTGCAGTATTATATTTACATAAAAAAAGTCATACAAGTATGGATGTTTTTGGGAGTGGAACGGATTAAATTTATTTCCTTTATTTTAAATGGGGAAATTTGTTTCCAAAGACGAGTTTTCCAGGTAACGAGCTCGGTGCCAGAACGGATTAAACTCGTTAATAGAGGTTCTACTGTATTGCTATATACACTGAAACTTTTTTTAATTTATTGACATGCAAGTTTATAAAACCTATATTAGCAGGACATGTTACATCTTCATAGTTCTGCACAGAGACGAAGTATTGTTGATACGGGTATCAAATCTTATGGTCATTACTGGTCCTGTTACAGTGTTGTCCAGAAGAAGAGCTGGATGGCTGAGAATGTTACTTGTTTCCGGATATGTGATGTCACTTGCCACGCAATGCTTCAGAACTGATCCTAGGGATAAGGTTTACTCAGTAGACAGTTTATGGTATTAAAAGTGTCATTGGAACTTCTGCAGCAGTATTATAGACACTATACTTGCAGCATGTTCCTATATAGCACCCAGGGACATAATACTGTTAATACAGTCAGTGAATGTAACTTTTGTTCTTATAAGAAATAAATTTTTCTGTAATGATTACTTATAAATTAACCAAGCTAATAATTTTTAATTCAATCAATTTAGTTCATCCACATACTGCTGAAAGAGAACATTACAGCAGTACGATGATGTAAGCAATTGTCAAAAGAAGGCACCAAGCCGGGGATATTATGTAGCACCATCAAAGTCGCAGGACATTTGTGGGAACCGACCTGTGAGATTTATATTTATTTAATTTATATGAATTTATATTTACGTTAATTTATATACTTCGATAGCAATTTGTATAATGATAAGTGGACTGTATTTCTGCAATAATCTCATAATCTCACAAATCGATCCTCTACACATTAGGGGGGGTATTAAATTAATATATATGCAGCCAATCAAACAACAGTAACTACATACATTGAAGAGGTCCCTTATCTTATAGTACAGCAGGTTAGTCCACCAGGTATAACTAGGGTGTAGACACCAAATTATCCTCTTTGAGGTAGCTTCCATATCACCCAGTAACTGGTGCACAAATCTTGCTTCCTCGTCTTGACCTGTCAAAAGTGCGCTAGCTGTGAAGCCAGAATCCTATATATGACAAGTATTTCAGAGAAAACTGTACATGGAACATGAAGACCTGGCTTAATTACCTTTAGTTTGAGGCTTCCACGTGCTCTAACCGGGTCACCCTATATAATGACATTAATGGCCATAAATGAAAGATACATGGGTTTCGGAAAGAACACTTAACTTGAATTGTAGACATCGTGTTGGAGATGGTACCTTTGGTTTCCATAACACTACGTCCAAGTAAAATTAACAGGAGCCGAATTTGCTCCCGTGTGAGCCTCTGGTCTCAATATAAACAATGGCTGTTTAACACTCCATACTATTGACGTTACTGGCCGACATTGTCCAGATATGATAGGAGCTAAATTTGCTCCACACGTCTCGGAGGTGACACAACAATGGCTCCCTCCTTCCCCACTGACGCCTGGCCTACTTTGTCCAGATTTCAGAAAGTGATAGAAGGGTCACATTTACTCTACTTTAATATTAATAATTAAGTTAATTTATATGAGATGTTTTATGATGGTAAAGTCCAAAGACTAATGTATTTAAGAATAATTCCCAGCAGAATAGCTGGTGAATTATAATAGTATGTGGTGATGATATCCCGTTTTCTTTAGATGGTAATTCCACTACAAGTTACGTTTTCTATGGGTAACTTGTTTATACAACACAGCTCTTATCTGTCTGTATGATATTATTATTAAATGGTGTCGGATTTTCCGACAACATTCAAACGGTGCTAAATATCACTAAAGATACCAACACAAGAACAAAAGTGCACAAGGTAAGTGATATTAAAGGTATTAGATTCACCAAGGATTCTATCGAGGGACAGATTACCACGAGGGACAGTCTGGAAGCAAGAGACACTAGTGTTCTGAAAATCAGGATATGCAACAAGGAGATGTAGACTGTAAGAGGGACAATGCAGTTTGGACAAAATGGAGCGCCGCCCTGCTCCTTAACCCTTGGGCCGTTAAGGGTCATTTTGCCTTCAACACCCACAGGCGCAAAAAAAAAAAAAAATTTGTATTCCCTGATCATGGGAAAAGTAAAAAAAATCATAGATGGCATATTTTGGTTATGCTGTTTTATGCAAAAACAGCATAACCATACTGTTTTTGCTTTTATTCACTATACACAGACATTAAATATAAGTATCTACGTGTTTTGTTCACCATAACTGTACATCTAAGCTTGTATGGTGAGTTCAAGCAATAAGAGACGTAGCTACACACAGTCAGCTGGTGGTTGCTGTCGTCATTGGTTCAAGGCCAGACACACTAATATTTCTCCTCCAACAATATTGTTTGTGGTGTTATTACACTATATACACACATTATATATAAGTATCTACATGTTTTATTTGCCATACCTGTACAAATAAGCTGGTATGGTGCCCAAAGACCATAGTGGCCACCATGACATGTCATGCAGATGATGCACCTCCCTCTCCAAAATGGCGGGTCCCAACATACTCCTATTGCTGTTATCACACTCTATACACATGTTATATATAAGTATCTACATTTGTGTTTACCATAGCAAACCACTAGGTTTGCTAGTGGGAGTTTCTACCTCTCTGTTCGGTTTTTACCAAACCTTGCTTTTTACTTATCATGCCACTAGGTGGCATGGTAAGTCCAGTCAATAAAAGGTGGCCACGCACAGTCAGAAGACGACACTAATGGTGAGGGAGGGAGGTTGGTACTCATCCCTCCTTGGAGCACAGCTCTAAATATCACCACAATCCTGTTACTATCAGAATCCTGGTCAGTTTTATCACAGTCAAGGGTCTTCTGTAATACTATCATCACTAAATAATGGAAGTTACATATATATATTTTGACATTTTTAGGCGATGCTGTGGTCACAAGCTGAACAGCGGTGCTGTGAGCGCCAGCCTTTGTGGCTCGCTCAGTACTGACACACTCACACCCAGCAATGTTGGCCACGAGTTGGTCAGGAAGGGAGGGAGGGAGAGAGTTGGTCAGGAAGGGAAGGAGGGAGGGAGTTGGTCAGGAAGGGAGGGAGTCAGCCAGGAAGGGAGGGAAGGAGAGAGTTGGTCAGGAAGGGAAGGAGGGAGGGAGTTAGTCAGGAAGAGAGGGAGTCGGTCAGGGAGGGAGAAGTGTCGAGTGTGTGGGGTACCAGGTGTGACTCGTTTAAGCCTACAAAAGAAGGTAGTGTTGGAGGTATTGCAAGAATTATATTGTTTTCTTATTGCCGTGGAGAGCTAGTTACGAATATTAAATAACACACTATAATATTTAAACAGTACAGTATTTGGTTTGCTATTTATTCATTGAAATATTTACAAGAAAATAAAATTGGATTTAACAGAACTTAAGGCGCATATGTTAAAGTCATCGTACAGCGTGTCGACCTCCACGTGTGTCAACACGGGGAGGGGGGGGGGGTGACCAGGAACGAGATCACAGACGTGTGATCTGTCTCTTTCCAGTCTCGCCCACCCACCCACCTGCCTCCACGCCCACCTACCTGCCCATCTGCCTGCACGCCCACCTACCCACCTGCCTGCACGCCCACCTACCCACCTGCCTGCACGCCCACCTACCCACCTGCCTGCACGCCCACCTACCCACCTGCCTGCACGCCCACCTACCCACCTGCCTGCATGCCCACCTACCCACCTGCCTGCACGCCCACCTGCCTGCTCACCCACCCACCTGCTCACCCTCCCACCCACTTGCCTGCTCGAACCTGTTCACCCACCAAGCCCATCTGCCTGCCATCCACCCATCCAAAACCTACCTGCCTGAACCCACCTATCCTTGCCTGCCCACCCACCAGCTAGGCAGCTAACCACCCACCCAGCCTCACACACTAATTAGTGTGTGTGTCAATTCAAATCATGATTGTGGTATAAAAATTGTTGGAAATGATCACTTTTGGACTCAAGAGGTGAAAAAGTACTCTAATCCGGAAAAGTGATTATCCGGCTGGGGGTCCTTCCCATATAGTCCGGATAATCGAGTGGAGACGGTATGTATTGCACAGCCTAAGGGTTAAAGTGCTTGTAAGTTAAATGTTTATGGTCAAATCTTGCTAGAGCAGTTTCCCACTGCCGGTTACGGTGGTAGGAGCAAGGCCAAAGGGACTCGCTACCCTTAAGAGCACACAGCTTGTTACTAGTAACAAGCTGTGTGCCAGTAACAAGACCAACGACCATTCCAACCGATACATATCGGGGAGTGACTGGGTAGAAATTTAAATAAGGAATGCCCTTTCAGGAAATAGGACAAGTGCAGATAGTCTCCTAAGCAGCAGTGTCCGCACACTCATTTAATTAAATACCAATATGGCTGGGAAAGTAGAATGGTGTAATTTTTACATCGTTAAAAAAAAAATGTATTAAAAATGTTTGGTGATGCTGTAGATGGTCTAGGTTCATTGTAGCTGGAACTATTGAGCCTGATCTTCCACCACTGTCCATCTCAGGGGCCTGGTTGCCTGCCTCCATAAGCCTGTGTTTGAGAAGTGCTTTTGTGGTTCTTAAGCATCAATCAATCCAAAATTTTGGGCCCCAGAGGATACCACCTACAAGGGCAGCAATGGAGGCAAAGTGCTGGCCGGTGCTGGATGGGATGTGTTGGTCCAAATGGTGCCCCCCTTTTTAATAGTTTCTACTGCATTGTACATTTCCCTACATGAGTGCAAAAACCTTTCCCACTTTCACCCCAGCCCAGACACCCAACTGTCCCTAAGGGTGGCCCCTCCAGCCGGTGGTCTGATGATCTGAATGGGTAGCCTACGTTGGTCGCCTTTGCATGTACAATGCCCAGAGAGGGAGGGGAGGGACTAAGGAGACCCCTCTCCACATTTTTTAAAATTCATGGCAGTTTGGGTCCCTGCTCTCCATTTTTAGCTTGTTAATGTTATTATTAAATTGAAAATCCTTATTCATTTTTAAGATTTATATAAAAATATTAATCAGATTTTTGAGATCACACTGTATATTAAGGGGCAAGAATTATCGTTCCTTAAGGTTAAGGTAGATGCAGAAGCCAAGCAATATCTCCAGCTTCTGGTGTATTTTGTTGCCAATTGGAACTCATAACTAAATGCTCAAGTCCTACTATTATATACTCATGGTGCTCTGTGAGTAATATAAATAATGAAGAAACATTACAGAAATGCCCATTAACCACTGTGCTGCGCCAACCGAGAAAACTCGGTCGCTGGGAACCTGCGCTAACCGAGAAAACACCTTTTAATTATTTCGTACCTATTCAAAATGCGTGCGCAGTAGGTTGTGTACGAAATGCATGCATGCCCACCTACCTTAGGACCTCTAATAAAGAGGCAGTCATCTCGGAAAAAATTCCCAGAATGCCCTAGGGCTACTGCATGGCTGGGTTAGTACTGAGTGAGCAACCATGGGTGGCGCACCCGCCTCTGGCTCCCAAACACCTGTCCGACGTGGTGTTGAAAGATCGCTCTCTGTCG